AACGACTCCTCTAACGAAATATTCACCTGTGCTGTGGTATCTTTTTTGAAGCGGGGAGCTCGAAAAAATGCAAATTGTATGTATGTATAAAGCCGCTTTTACAGCGCTCTTCGGCGCTCTGCGACCCCTAGCCACCAAAGTCCCCTATCCTCCCAAAGCCCTTCAGGGAGTTGACAAACCCTCATTTCTTCTAAAACCCCCTGTTGCCACCCTTTCACTGGGCGTCCCCTTCGTCTCCTCCCAGGAGGAACCCAATCAAGCAACTTCTTTGGCAGCCTTTCGTCCGTCATTCTATTGACATGGCCATACCAAACAAGCTAAAAAAAAATGCAGATTTCTTACGCAAAATGTGAGGTAAGGAGTGCATTCTAGACTTTGCCGATGCGCTCATCGTAATTTTTGAGACATTTTCTGTGAGGAACAACTCTTATTCTTGCTCCAGCAAAAGTTTGCAACAGGCCCATTGGGATTACATTAGGAACAATGGGATCCCAGTTACCTCTTTTAATGATTGGCAGGCCCCGATGATACCTATACGAATAGGGGAGTTTTGATTTACGGGGCCCCTCCGCCCCCCGTCACTTCCGAGACCCCAAAAATACCGCAGGCACTTCTACGAATTTTATTTTATTGTCGTCAGGGACCCCTTCATTACTTCCGAGGGCCCCCAGGAATTCCTTGGGTGGGTATTCTTGTAAATTCTGAAGTTGAAACTTCAAGCCCTTTTAGGTCTATTACGTACACATTTTTAAATTTCGGAGCCTTAAAGATAATGAAAGGTAATACAAATCCGGAGAAATGGGCAATAATCTAGGGCCAACCTCTTCGGTCCATCGCGGCATAAAAAAACTAGCATTGCTAAAAAAAAACAGCATTGCTAAAACTAAATCGCCAGATAACTAAAGAATTTATCGATTTTTATCTTTATAATACAATAAATGTTAGAGTAGATCTATTTATCCCTTTAGTTTTCTTTATTTTGCTAATTAATGTTTTGGGTCTGATTCCTTATGCTTTTTCTTGTTCTGCTCACTTTGTATTTTCTATTAATTTTGGGTTTCCAGTCTAAATATCTTTTATTTTTTGTTAGAAAGTCATCTTGGCCTCCAAGCCTTCCAAGCCAGTCTGCCCCTCCGTTAAAAAAATCTACGAAAATAACTGTGAAATAAATGGACTTTCTGCTTTTCAAACACATGCGATACTGTAAAAATGGCTAAAGAAGCTCATTCCTGCTGACGGACAAGGATTCGACCCCGTGCTTGACCCAAACGGAGGATTAGAGGTGGCTAATCCCCTAATAAGCGGTGCCCTAGCTTTGGATCCTGTTTGAGGTATCTCACTCGAACCCGAAGCCGGGAATTGTATTTTCGTCGTTGACACGAGTTGACACCTCACTCTCGATGCCCCCGTGGACCCCGTGGCCCTGCAAGTGCGCGACCCGACCTCGACCCCGCGACCCTGCGTGCCTCGTGTTTCTTCACAGGTCCTGTCCGAGTGTCCGTTCCGGCAATGGCAACTACTAAACTATACTCCTATCTTGACTCTTGTCGGCAGCCTGATACATAAAGGGTGCGCCCTTGTCACCCGACACGCAGTTCCTCAACTCTAGAGTCCCTGTATACTGAGAGTCAAGACAATGTGAATCCATTTCTGATTGGTTCCCGTATTTTGGGCCTTCACAGTGTCACAAACGGGAATAAAGATTACATTTTCACCGATTGCAAAGATTATAATCTGGAATGGACCAGGGAATTACGGGTTCGGCAAGGAACAAACGGAATGAGAGAGGGGACGGAAAAATGAATTTGAGAATGGGCCGATCAAAGATTAAAAAAACGTTCAATTTCTGTAATCTTTATTCCCGTTTGTGACTCCATGAGGGAATGTTGTCTTGGCTTCCAGTATAAAGGGACTCTACCTCGTATTTCTTCACATGTCCTGTCCGAGTGTCCGTTCCGGCAATGGCAACTACTAAACTACGCTCCTATCTTGACTCTTGTCGTCAGCCTGATACATAAAGGGTGCGCCCTTGTCAACCTACGCGCAGTACATCAACTCCTCGATCGCTCTCATGCCAACTTCAGCTAGAGCAGAAAGAATAATTGTGTATCGAGGGAAATTGCTCAAAAATCACGATAAGCGCATTGGGAAAGTCTGAAATACACTTAGTCTTCACAACAAATCCAGAACTTCACAATCTGCCTATGAAATATCGACGGTGTAAGTCGACAATTACATATCTCGTTTGCGGTGTCTGAAAATCTGCACCTCTATGTTATTTTTTTATGGAGAACAAATTGACATCATTCCTTGAAGTTTTTGAAGAATTTTTTCGTACAGAGAAAAAAAATCACGGCAATAGTTTTCCGTTCAAAAAATAAAGTATGACAAGAAGTCTGCGACGTAGCAAAACGAGTCATGTGATTGCCGACTTACACCGTCGATTTGCGTTTTTTTAAGCGTCCCGATTCAAAAACGATCCTAAGGCACAGGTGAACATTTCGTGAGGGAAGTCGTTCCATCCAACCCTAGCGCACTATAGGATACTACACAATATTCAAAATGGCTGACGCTTCCGAGCGCGAATTGTTAGGAGGCACCGTGGTCTTTATCAACGCAAGGAAAATGTAAATATAAACAACCACCGGTTGATAAAATACTGTCTCGTCACGTATGTTTTGGCGGGTTGGCGTCAACGATGTTGAATATTGCGTGGCATCCTAGAGCGCAAGGGTTGATTGAGACGACTTCTCTTACGAAAATATGTTTAACTGTGCCGTAGTATCGTTTTTGAATCGGGACGCTTTAAAAAACGCATGTTTTTTGCGCAGATTTTAAAGTTAGGAGCGTATTACAGACTTCCCTATGCCAGGGTGTCTACTAAAACAGGCTGGCCGAAAATCAGTACTTTTACCGTAATTTTTCGGTACGTTACTAAGAAATTCAGTACCTCCTTAACAGAAAAATTCAGTACTTTTTCAGTACCTCCAATTGACGAAATTCGAAAAAATTGAATTTCCCGCTCAAATGGCGACAAAAATGACAAAAAATTAAAAAAAAATCCGGACCTTCTAGCGGAATTCCCGCACTTTTTCAGTACTTCCGGACCGCCGTTAAAAAACCGTACTATTTCCGGACTTGTAGACACCCTGGATGCGCTCATCGTGATTTTGGAGCCATTTCCTATCTGAAACAACTCCACTTTTACCTCTGGCTGAAGTTTGCAAGAGGCCCATTTCTGGACTCCAGCTCCGATTATCATCCCCACGAAGGCCCGTGGACCGTGACTAGAAATCGTGCCCAAAACTCTGAGGGGCCTTCCATAAAATACGTGACGTTAAAAGTAAGATTACTTGGCCCCCTCCTTCCCTCATAACCCACCCGTAACACATATCTGCACCCCGCTCCCAAAACAATTTCCTAGCTCTCAGTTCTATCCCTTTTCAAATTATTGGCGTTTGGTGTTAAATTATGGATGACAAATTACCACCTTGCGTTGATTTTTAATCTTAGATTTCAAAAATCCACAACACGCACCTCTCTAGCGTTATGTTACGCGACCCTGAACACCCTCTCCTCCCTGTGTCGCTTACGAGAGCGTCACGTATTCCCTGAACGGCCGCTTACCCGAGGCAGTCGTGCGCGGAATGCGTGCATTTTGATGCACGATGCACGATGTGGGCAGAAAATTTCTCACGCTATGTAAGAACATTTACAATGAGCTCGAAAGAAACCATTACATTAACCTCGTAAACACAGGGTCCTCTGTAATTGACTCGTTGAAAAAATTAAAAAAGAAATTGCGAACGATATTATCTCGGGTTTCAGTTGAGATTTCAACATTGGGCACAATAAAGAGCTCAGCAGTATAGGGTAAATGAAAGATTGGTCTATTGATCGATCGACTGCCTACACGGAGAAAAATTATATTGCTGAGTAAACAATTTTGTAGTTTAAAAAAGTGTCAGACATGTTTCAATGTAGATTTTACAATAAGAATAAATTAATATAACCATCCCCGTGGTTACATTAGCTTTCCACTATTGTAAAATAATGTACACTTGAAACATGTAAGACAAATTTTTTAACAATTTTCTTTTGTTGAATCACCAATCCATTTTTTTCCGTGTGTGGAGTCGTTCTCCAGTGGCGATTTTGCAAGTTGGCAACACTGTTTTCTCCCGTTTGAATCCAGCATGAATATCGAACTTATGTGAGGAAAGTTGCCTCACCAAGGATCGATTGTTTTACATACATTTGAATGGAGGAAAAACAGTGTTGCCGACTTTTAAGTATGGCCGCTGCTGCTGCAGAACCACCATACGGAATTACTCCTGCAGAGCCGCTGATTGCACGGAATGATTAGAAAGCGGAGGAAAAAACCCGTGAGGAGCGAGCGAGGGCAACGGTAAGGAAACGGGATGAGCTTGCGGAGGCGGAAGGAAGATCGCGCATTCGGGGGGAAGAGGGAAATAGAGGGGTGGGGGTGGCGGAAGGAAGAAGAGGAGGAAAGGGGGACGAAAAGATGGGGAGAGCACGCAAGAGAGAGAGGGACAGAAATAAGAGCCGCTTGAACCAAAACAAATGAAATGCTCATCATTATCATGTATGAGAAGATGGAAGGTGCAAAATTATTAGCATAAAATATAACACGAGGAAACTTATACAAATTTGAGAAACAAAAAGAGAGAAGGAGAGAGGGGCAGGGATGGGGAGGGAGGAAGAGAGAGGAAGATAGGATGTAAGTAGAGCTACCAATGCACTCACGCACACGGACGCAATTCCGTGCAAAAAACCAAAAAAACAAGTGATTTATACTGCACGGTGATTTCCTATACACTTACAGGTTGGCACTTGAACCGAAGAGAAAAATAAATAATAAAAATAAAACCAGTTTTAAATAAGGGGACTGTATTGGCGTGGAGAGGGTGGGAATACCTTCCAACTGACAGTATGCAAAACCTGTTCCTAACTCTACGAAGAGGGGTGGCGAACATTACCTTGTGGGCTTATCAGCTACCAGGTTGATGAATTCAGATTCCACCAATTGACCGTCATAGTAGGTGAATTGATCTTCGAAGGGGTACTCGTAGCCTTGGAGACATTCGCATTTGTACCCTCCGGAGTAGTAACCTCGGCCCAGGATCGGCACGCACTGAAACACAAAATCAACTTCATGGATATTTCCTCTTTAAACTCCGTGTCTTACAAGTATTTTACAGTTTCGTTGCAATAATTTCCCCGTGCAAATTTGTGAAGAACATGGATTTACTGAACCTGTGAGATGAGCCCTTTTTTGTGACGAGCTAAAGACAGTTTCGACGACCTCTCATTGGATATAGTGCTGGTGAAATACTCTCTTCTTAACTGGTGTTTTGTGCTTGTGTTTTTCAATCGAAAATTTCAAAAACTAAATCCACTCCTTTTTTGTGACTAGTATCGACTCGTTGATTTTCACTATTGAGGACAATTTTGGAAAAAACTTGCATTTCCGAATATGTTAAATCAGAGTTGGACAAAACGGCATTTTGGTGATTTTTACCTTTAGTGCCAACTGATCACTTGTTTTAAATATCAGTGTCCTCCTGAATTGATAGTGATTTTGTTTCTGTGTTATAACCCGACCAAAATTTACAGTTGATATTGTGTTGAAACTTTTTATACCTATTCCATTAAAAACTGAGTGAGAACTTTTATGGAGTAATTCGTGCCTCAAGGACTTCACGTACATGATCTTAACTGCTGCACTAAATCGCTGGGCATTGTTATTTTCTCCTTTTTTGTTGATATCATGTGAGGACAAACTTTCAAGATTCGGCTTGGTCTAGGTCAGTGCATACTCTATTTTTTATCAATTACATTCTTGGTGTATTTTATATACTTTGTATTTCTCAGCTGTTTTTGGTACTTTCATTTTATAATTGAGTGAAATTTATGCAATGCTTATTTCTTCTGGAACTTTTTACTCCTCCTCTACCCCTTTCTAAACTGGATGTGGGGTGGACTTTAAACCATGCTATCTACAATGGCTATGGAATGGCACTTTAACAAGTGGATTCAGCAGACCATCTTAAGAATAAAACTAAAAAAGTGCCTCTTCAAAATGTGCCTCTACGTTCCGTTGATAATAATCAGCAGGTTTTGATTTTAAGCGCGGACTATGTCAGAATGGGCCTGTTGCAAACTTTTGCTAGAGCAAAAATAAGAGTTGTTTCTTGTAGATAATGCCTCAAAAATCACGATGAGCGCATCGGCAAAGTCTGAAATGCACTCATAACTTCACAATCTGCGTAAGAAATTTGCGTTTTTTTAAGCTTCCCGCTTCAAAAACGATACTACGGCATAGGTGAACATTTTGTTAGAGGAGTCGCTCCATCGTCGGCGATATTTATCATGGCCGACGCTTGCACGCAGTTCCGCGCGTAATTCAAGGAGAGTTCAAGGTCAATCAATTCGGGCGTGGAAGATATGAACGTTAACACACCGATTGTTATCTGGTCTAATCCAGTTCAGGTGTTATCTCGTCCCATCAAACGTGTTTTAGCGGATTGGCGTCGGCTATGATGATTATTGCCGACGATGGAACGACTCCTCTTACAAAATGTTCACCTGTGCCGTAGTATCGTTTTTGAAGCGGGAAGCTCAAAAAACCGCAAATTTCTTACGCAGATTGTGAAGTTATGAGTGCATTTCAGAGTTTGCCGATGCGCTCATCGTGATTTTTGAGGCATTATCTATAAGGAACAACTCTTAGTTTTGCTCTAGCAAAAGTTTGCAACAGGCCCATTTGACTGATTTCGTCCCTGCAATCTGCATGTTGCCTACTCATTTTTCGACAAACCAAATATTCTCCTCGTTTTTCATCATCAATTTAGGCTGACAGATCTTTTCTACTTAGCGCCGAGGCCCTCTGCGTGTTTCTCTTCTATTGTCTTCGAGAGTCACCCGTCTTGAATTATTCGGAATCTACATGAGGCTGCAGTATTTCCGACTGAGCAAGAACTTTTTACCCCTTACTGTTACCATCCATTTAAGAAATACACTTTCTCTCACTCAAAAACATTAGCCTTCGGTGCTTACACTGAAGAAAGTCCAAATTAAAAGCTCTCACTCTCTTTTTTCACGTTCGTGGATATAACTACGGAAAAACTTCGATTTTAATTTTTATCTATAACGGATTTGTCGTTTTTCAAACTATACTAATCATCACGTCTCTTGCAACATGGAGAAATTTTTTGTTCTGGCGCCATGTCTTTCCCGCTCCGCTGTGCGCCGAGAGATATCGCAGTGAAGCCGGGCATCACGTGATAACAGCCAAAGATGCAAAACATGCTGCTCAATATTATAAAATGAAAAATCGTAAAATTTTCTAAAACTTCTGCAACATACTTGGTATGCCACGAAACGCACAGAAGCAGTAAAATCTTAATTTTGAAATTTTGAAGAAGAATATATCATAAGTCAAATTTCGAAGTTTTTTCTATCGAATTTCCGGGTAATTTTTGCGGGTTGCACGCGCAACCCCTTAAACATCGTTGAAATTTCAACCGGTCACCGGCCAGGCCAGGCTGGTAACAGCTGAGTTCCTAACTCAACGCAGCCAGTGGCGTGGCGTGAATTGCGATGTATCGATTGTTAAGCCCTTTAAACCTATGGTAAAGAATCGATTATTAAGGTGTTCGCTCCAAACACCCTGTTTATCGATCCTTTTCTATAGGTTTAAATGGCATAACAATCGATATATCGCGATTCACGCCACGCCAACGCACCCTGAGTGGAGAGCAACGGCGTGGTTTGAAATAGCCTGGTGACAAGGAAGGGATGTTTTTCTTTAGTTTTGCAGTAATGACTCGTGGACAAACAATTTCTCTAGGTTGCGGTAAAGATTGTAGGATAAACATGGTATCAAGAAAAATACATCTGCTTTTGGGTAAAGCGAAAACTTTAGTTTTTCAATATTTCCACGAACGTGAGAAACAAGTTAGTGTGAAGTCCGACCGGGTCGGGTTTTCCTAATTTTTAATCCAGATGCCTACGCAACACGCGTTCGCTGGAACATTTCTTAAATTTGGAAGTCGCAAATGCAAACTGCGTGTCAATATCTCAATTTAGTGAAGAGATATGAGGCAAATTCTATCACGGAGTTTTTCAACTTTGCGCCCCCCTTCCCTCGCCAGATTCTTTTTTGGGGGGTGGGAGGGGGAGGAGGGAGAGGCTGTAATATTGGCGAAAACGCCCCTTATCATATTCCTTAAAACTTTTAAAAATCACGGAAATTCAGAAGGGGAAAAAAGGTCATTTTTGCATCAGCCTCTTCATAGGCGGTTCTAGACCTCCATACTTGGAGGTGCCACATTTGATCGGCCACAGGTGGGGCAGGGGGGAGTCCCTAGTGAGAGGAAAGTTTTCAATTTTTCCCTTGCCGAGTTGGATTGGAAAACATTTTTGCCCCGTCCGCGGACTGGCCACCCCCGTTGCCCGAACTGGCCGATGTTCTTGCCCAGTCCGTGAAATAGGCAGCCAGTCCACGGAATGGCCGGTCAAAAGTCTGGAAATCACGCCGAGGAGGCCAGTCGCTCATTTTAAATGCAATCCATACGCTAACCGACGAATGTTCCTAATCCCTTCCAAAAGAAAGACTGTGCGCAGAAGAATGACTTGATTGTAGCGCCTTCAGTGATGCAACTATTCGTGGTCCACGAATGTGCATTTTGCCTACTCAAAAATTGAAGGCGCTCCCACTTTTCTCACTGAATCGGCCGTTTCGATGCGACCACCTTCTTCAGCGCTCGAACAATGGGTTTATTCGGTAATTTCTAATTTGTGCATTTTGTAAAACTAGAGAGTGCACAGTGCACACAGTTCACAAGAATTTTCCCCGATTTTTTTTAACACTAATAACCCATGAAAAACGAGTTCGAAGTCGCGTATTTTGAACTCTCATTTTAAAACGCGCGACGCCGGGTCATCCAAGATGGCGGCCGCGCAGATTGGTCCGACTTCAGCCTCACTGTTAACCTCGCCTTCCCTCCGGCGCGTAGAGTACCTTTTTAGGGAGAGTATGGACACTGGGCCCCATGGAGTGGCTTGGGGCACAAAAATGGAGGCGCTTTGTTTTGGTTTTGGAGGATGACGGGGGGAGGGGGGTTTCATTACCAACTTTTGACCGTTTTCACCTGGTTATCACCAACCACACTTGCTGCCAACCTTACTAAATCTCAAATAATTATTCTCGAAAATTATAGACGATTAGCCGTAAAATTATGAAAATACACAGTAATAATGCATTTGAATAAATTTCTCAATGCCATATGCAAATAAAACTATATTTTCAGTCATTTTGTACTTACGCATAGTTACAGCCTCCACCATTTTTGGGCTCTAGAAGGTTGCATTCATCCTGACATGGCTGAGCGAATCAGCGGTGGTAACCGAAGTAGCCACACTCTCCCTATATGGGTACTCTCAGTGCACGTGCATCAATAACAGGAGGAGTAAACATAAACCTAATGGAATTCATAAAAATTGAGGAATTCAGATGAGTTTATGTTTCCTCTTCTCGTTATTGAAGGACGCGACCATGAAGAACGTGGAGTTAAAAAAAAGACGAAAGTTGGACCAATCTGCTTGGCCACCATTTTGGATGACCCGGCATCGCATGTTTAAATGGGAGCTCAAAATACACAACTTTAAACTCGTTTTTTGTGAGTTAATATTGCCCCAAAAAATCGAAAAAAATTCCTGTGAGCTGTGTGCACTCTCCAGTTTTCAAAAATGCAAGAATTGGAAATAAATGAACAAGCTCAAGTTCGTACCTCCGAACTTTCTTAACTGAAAGAGCAGGGAGCAGTAGTCTCAACTACACTATTGCTTGCTAGATATTCGTCCCTTGGAAAACCGAGCACACATGATCAGTTATGGGCCCATCCCATAGTTGGGCCCATATGGGGCCATCTCCCTTCTCAATTTTACAAAAACAGCCACGTTCAAAATATTTAATACAAACATACTGAAAGCTACATTTTTACGGAGAATGAAGCTTAGAATTCACAAAATCATGCGAACCTAGATTCATTGGCTTATTTTCAAAAAATTTTAAGCTACTCATGTTTGCATGCAAGTTTCTGACTACATACAGTGGTATGATTTAAATATTTGGTCATAGAGGCCACCTAAGTATTGGCTCATGTATTAATCCAGCCATTTCACGGAAAAGTGCTTTAAACTCATTGAAGTTAAGTTTGAGTCCGCTGCAATGAATGTGTTGATGCAGAGCCACTCTCTTTTTTTTTTTATCATATTTATGACACTTAATGTGTTCTTGTAAATATCTCTACCTATGACTTTCATATTCTCATAAACTCCTTTGCAATTTGCACAATATACTTTATTTATAACATAAGAAGCTCTCAGTGTCTACTTAAAGCTTTTTAGCTTACTAAATAATGAGTTTTTACAATTTTTCAAAAGGTTTCTTGATAAATCTTTGTCCTGCATTTCTAAGAGTGACGCAGAAAAAATTATGGGATGGTTTCAATGCCTTTTATCTCTCATTGAAACAAGAAAAAAACATTAAAAAGTGGCCTGAGCAGTGCAAGTAACAGTTATACCATGCCGTTGCTCTCATTAAAACTTACATTGGAATGGTGGGAAAAACACAAGAAATAAATTTTTCTCGATGTGACATAGAAACACTAAGAGGGTGATAAGATTTTCTAAAAGTGGTATCTAAGTTGATGCTGAAAGCTTCTAATGTGGTGTATCAAATAAATTGTGTGAATTACCTTAAAGCTTATATGTATTTGACATTCGCTGAGGTGTTTAAAAAATGCTTTAAATCCTATGAGTATAATAAAAGCAAGCAAATGGTTCTACATTAACATATTCATGACACAAGACACAGTTTTAATTTCAATAAGCCTCAAGTGCTTATCCAAGAATCCGTTGAAAAAGACTTCACAGCCTCAATTTGGCGAGTAGAGTCTAATAGCTTAGCAATTACCCCACATTTTTCAAACCAACTGCTCTTAAAGGGCTTAAGGTCCAAAAATTCTTGATAGTGAGATAAAATCAAGTACATGCAGAAGTGTGACATACTACGAAACTTAACTTGTTGAGAGTGGTTAACCCTTTGGGGCCTACGCACAAGATATATTGTGCAGCGCGGGCCGCACGCCCTGGCCTACGCACAAGTTATCTTGTGTTGCGACCGCTGGCCAGAGATTCCCCTCTAACTCACTCTATAATTGGTTTATCAAGTCATGTATCAAATGCATTCTGTCAGGAAGGATCTGAACTTTAACTTTAGACTTCTTCCAATAGAGTGCAGTGACGTCTGGTAATAAAAATCGTATCGCGGGCAGCTGCACGAAAACCTGGGGCTCAAAGGGTTAAAAGGCTAAGGTAAATTTCCCAAATTATTTCATTTGTCCACCCCTGAAGAATCCAAAATGGTATACTTAAAATTGAGACGCAATCACTTGCATCAATATGGTACATACTTAAAAGAATCAGCTTATCAAGCAGAGTCTGTCTATACCTCGACAGTGCTGCGAAACTGCAAAAATAGTTCATTTTCAATTAGGTCCTTCCTAATTGACCCCATTAATAGTCTTATTGCCTCTACACGTTTTTCTAAATTTAAAAGGCACTATTTCTGAAAAATAATTGGATCATGCAAAACTTACGTAGGAAGTTTTCTTATCACACTTGTGAGTGTCTTTGTATGCATTGGGCACATAGTATTTATCTGGACACTGATTTATGTCTAATTGTGTGAGATCCATCGTTACAGCAACAACACCCCTGAAATTGGAAGAAGCGAACATTCATTTAGAATTCTTTTAGATAGGTGAAAAGATCAAAACTGTAAGCTATAGTCAGAGTCAATGGACCAATAGACGAATTATAAACTAGGGAAAACTATCACATGTTTTCACGTCAAAATCTTACGTAGAATCCAATTCAAACAAATCAACTCTTGAATGAGATATGAATAAGTATTTTAACACGGAGCAAGTGGATATCAGATTATACATACGGCTTCATTAGTACTTCTTCTATCTATTCTCAAAGTTAGTTGTAAACATATCTGTGTTGATTTTTGGAGTTGGAGTTTTGCTAGGGAGTTAATTTTTAGACGTCCTGATATGTAATTTGTTTGCCTTTTGGAATTATGATGTGAGAGAATGTTACTTTAATTCATGCTTTGTCTATTGGTCGACAAAACATAGTGATAAAATTTTTGTTGAAGCGTGTACACATTTGACAGCAGTTTTAATTCAAAATCCGAGAAGTTAGTTAATATTAATTTGCTTTGAAGACTAATAAAAGATTAATTTATATTTGAATCGGTTGATGATGTCATCAACAGGTGCCCGGATAGCGCCATTGACTGGGGCCCCAGAGGTGTCATCAGTCAAAATAATCAAAACCACCAACAGATGGCTGACACTGATAAAAATAGTTGGGACAAAAAGAAATTAAGATTTCTAATAAACAGGTTAAGGTTCGCTCCAAAACCAACTCTAGACCTGCTTCTCGGCTTGGCTCTGATCATCATAACTTTATTCTGCGAGGAAGAGCCCATTTGACTTACAACATAATTATAGAGAGTGGTAAAGTGGTAGTTAGGGAAACTGTATTTACTTGCTTTCAATCTTAACGTTGCTGTTAAAGCAAGGACCTGTTAATTTTTGGGTCGGTTTAGAGCCTTAGTTTTTAACAAAAAAAAAAAAAAAATGGATTAGTCTAATGTTTCAAAACATCCCTTGCTTCCTCTTACACACTTCGGTCTATACTAATGGATTTTTGAGTGTTCCTCAATTATTTATATATGCATGTATATAAACGGTGCATGTATAACAGATACTTACTTAAATTCCAACTTGACTTTTAAACTGTCCCATCCAAAGAATGGGGATGCATAAGTGATCACCCACTTTTTCATTTTGCCTTTGCAATCGAAGTAGGGATTGGTCCAAAATCCGTGTGCTAGGTTGGCAGCCCTGAAAAATGTGATGATATTAAGAATTGAAAACTTGATAAGGGTAAAATTGTGTGATACCATAAAAACTGTCAGTAATCTACTAATGCCCTGTAGGCGATGAATGAAGCAGTTTAAATGAAAGATGCTTCCAAAGATTTCAAGAGTTTACTTAAAGATGGTAAACCTCACAGTTCAAACTAACTTTATGAGAAGGCAGCACCCATTGTAAAAACTTGGTACAAATCTCGAGTCACTGAAAATACTTTCAAATGAACAGATTTTACCGAAATCAAGCTAATTGCATTTCTTGAGGCTTTTTCTCTGAAGTCCAATGGGCCTGTTGCAAACTTTTGCTAGAGCAGAATGAAGAGTTGTTTCTTATAGATAATGCCTCAAAAATCACGATGAGCGCATCGGCAAAGTCTGAAATGCACTCATAAATTCACAATCTGCGTAAGAAAATTGCGTTATTTTGAGCTTCCCGCTTCAAAAACGATACCACTGCACAGGTGAACATTTTTTTAGAGGAGTCGCTCCATCGTCGGCAATATTCATCATGGCCGACGCTTGCGCAGTTCCTCGCGTAATTCGAGGAGAGTTCAAGGTCAATTAAGGCGGGCGAGGAAAATATGAACGTAAACACGCCGATTGTTATGTGGTTTAATCCAGTTCAGGTGTTATCTCGTCCCATCACACGTGTTTTGGCGGACTGGCGTCGGCCATGATGAGTATTGCCGCCAATGGAACAACTCCTCTAACAAAATGTTCACCTGTACCGTAGTATCGTTTTCGAAGCGGGAAGCTCAAAAAACCGCAAATTTCTTACGCAGATTGTGAAGTTATGAGTGAATTTCAGACTTTGCCGATGCGCTCATCGTGATTTTTAGGGCATTATCTGTAAGAAACAACTCTTAGTTTTGCTCTAGCAAAAGTTTGCAACAGGCCCATTTTTTCACAAAAAAGTAACTAAATAATGCCGTTAAGCTTTCTTTAAATTTACAATATACTCACAATCTCAAGTATCAGTATTGCTACGTTATATACATAAAAATTAAAGAAAACAAGGCAACATTGAATGCAGTTAAGTTGATTTCAGTCAAAGTCAACCAAACTGCAATTACAAGGTTATGCCATGTTTGAGTATATACACAATCTTCAGCTAAACAACTATTTTTATTTTTTTTTTTTAGGAGGGGAGGGGGGAGCTAGTTGGAGGCAATCTTTTCAGGGCATCAAAGTATGATGAATCACAATTTCTGTAAAGTGTATTGATAACGCTTCTCATCCTCTTTGTCAAAAAAGTTCAAACTACTTCTGAAATAGTATTGGCAAAATGTCTGCCTCCTGAGGTGTGGTAGTTGTGGTGCTGGCTGTATGATTAGGAGGTCCTAGGTTCTTTTACTCCCAGCTAAGTGACCCAACTTTTATGGTCTCAAACAACGGTTACCTCAGGATGATTTAACAGTAGGAACTGAGGAGGAATGGGATTCTAAGTGAAAGTGTATGCAGGATTATCCCTTATGTGGCATTTAAAGCAGTGAAAAAAAAAAGACTTACTTGTAGTAGTTAGGATAGTGTTCATATTTCTTCAAATACTCCCCTGTTTCATTGAAACGGATTTTGATTTTCATATAAAACTTTTCTAATGAGTCAAAGTTTGTTGACCACCGTTGTTTCAGCATCTGGAACCACTGTTTGTTGGTGTACACCTCCTCTGTGAATGAGAACAAAGAGTAATGCTAGTAATAACCAACAAATATGGAAGCTAAAAGTTAAGAAAGCTTGAAACTGAAGAGGTCCAGTTAAGTAACTTTTCTAGATAACTTAGGTAGTTCTCGGTAGCGGCTCACTTTTTATTCCATCCCAAAGTTTTCAGCAACATACTACTAGGATGAATGACAGTTTTAAACTTTATGAAAGTTCATCTCCGAGTCAAAATTTTTGTGTCATAAACGCGATTTACTCAGGACAGAAAATAATAATAGATAAAACTTATGAATTAAAACAATAAGCAAGATAAAGATAAAAAAGAATATTCCAAGGTGTCTGCTAAAACCGGCTGGCCAAGAATAAGTTTCTATTTTTCTGAAAAATCTAGTACCTCCTTAACAGAAAAATTCAATTATTTTTCAGTACCTCCATGTGACAGAATCTTTAAAATTTTATATTCGCCTGCAAATTGCAACAAAAATTACTTAACCACAAAATGTGAAGCTCATTTGTGGCCTGAAGATCAACTGACTACACAATCCCAATCTAGCAATCAAATTGCAAAGAGATCCAATTCGCAAGGGACTGCATACTTTCCAGACTGTCTTGAAAACCTAGCGAGGCCTGAAGCGAAAAATTTTGGACCTCCTTCCAGTGTTTCCGTATCTTTTCAGTGCTCCTAAACTGCCCTCAAAATATCAGTACTATTTCCAGACTTTTTTGACTTGTAAAAACCTTGATGCTCTCTTAGTTAGAAAAAGAAAATACGCAGATAATAAAGAGAAAACATGGAAATATTTCTCTTTCAAAGAAATTTAAGTTTTCTCCTCTCTCAACTTAAGATGCATTGTTTGAGGGCTAAGGTATTCTCAATTCTTTGTATTCTTATGTATTCAGCTTCAAAAAAAACATGAAAAAAACCTTTGTACTGAGAGTGATGAAAGCGTACAAACCTGTGGTGTTGAGTCTTGCCAAATCTTCAATGAAGAAATTCCTTGTATTCAAAATCTTTTTGTAGGCGTAAGGAGCAAATAAAGTTCGATTTGTGAATTTGTTTCTTTCCCAATAGGTTCCAGCTGCCCATATTTTACTATCACCAAGGACCAATGATAAAGTTTCAGCAAACATCTGATCTTCTGTCAATGGTTTATCTGGCTGACGCTTACCAGAGTACACTTCTTTAGGGTCAGAAACCTAAAAAACAGAGAAATTTGGATAAAGCGAAGGAACAGAGAGTACTGACACATTATTCTCAAGAAATTTATATTACGATTCAGTTAGAATGGGCGATTTTTCCAGAATTGCAGCGTTATAATGATTTAGTGCCTTCTAAATTTTTTCGATGGAGTAAGCTATGAAGACCTATTCTTGGTTTCTTATACACTCCTTTGTTTTGATTTAACTTTGTAGTTCCGCTTTCTTCTCTTTTTAGCGGCAAAACAAGTTTCTTCTTCAGTTCACTCTGTACTTCTGAAAATTCTTATCATTACATTTATACATTTTTTTCTATTTTAAGTTGAATTGAGCCCTCTTTTTTAATAAATGAGTAAGGAAAACAGGGCTTTTGCACAATCCATGAGCCTGTCCAGCATCATTTCAAAATGGCGGCCTGTTCAGATGGGAAGTTCAAAATGAATTATACATACTTCAAATTTCAATTATATATATATTCAAAATACTCCTAAACGAATATAAGAACTTAAAAATACCTAAAGAGAGAGAAGAACTCACCTGCAAGAAAGCACTGATGAAATTTGATAAACGAACTGCCATTTTCGCCTCATTTTCAAACTGCTCTTCAGCACCAAATCCATAGTCACCTGTGAGCTCTAACTGTTCAGTGCTGTACCTGTAATAGAAAAAGTACCGGTTTTAGTACATATTTGCATGTTCATCGCAAGGGCCGTGTGAAGCAATGCGTAGAGGGGAAGATTTAATAACATGAAATTTTCAGGTCTACCGACTCATGCTACTGGACTGTAGATAAAAGGAGAAGAAGAGGAAATGTTGTTTTTAGTTTGTTTACTTATGTGCATAAAGCTGAAATAGGAAACTGAAAAAGAGAAAGCTTAAGAAGGGGTCTATAGAACTTTACCTGCGATCAAATCAAGGGAGGAGAATTGAAGAAATTCATTAGATGTTTCTCAGGTGTCAAATTAATACAGCTAATATTCTTTTTTTAGAATGTCAGACATTCAGGGTTATCATGCAACTGTGGAACGATGCTAAAACTTTTGAGCAATTTGAGGGAAAAATTTGAACTTGTACTTGAGAATAATCTGGGGTTAAATGGAGCTATATTTCTACACAATTACAATTCTGTGGTAGAATCATCTCACAAATAAGATCTAGAAGTCGTCATCCATCCTTGATTCAAAATAGCAAGAAGATTTGAGTATAATACAGAGGTGGATTTTTGTTATCAGATTTTAAAGACTGCTTGCGATTTATGGATAGGAATAGTGAGTGAAAGTATAGTAAATATAATGAATAAAAAGTAAAATCAAACTGGTAATTACAGGGAGCAATTATCAGGACGAACTTCATGGATGAAACTCAATACTTGATCGATATTTAATTTTTTGTCATGAAGAGCTTCAGCACCGGCACTGTAATTGAGATACTCATGATATTGCTCCAAGTACATTTCACGGAAGTAAGGATCCAATTTATTCCATTGAACTGGTAACTTGTGTAGCCCTGAAACAATTAAAATTGAAAATAGAGTTCTTACATTTATTCTCTTTGATTCTTTTTAGAGAATAAAGAATCTTTAGACGGGAAATTTTACATGATTTTTAGTGAGAACAAGATTACAATGTTCTTTACCATTAAAGTATGTTGAGGTACAAAGGAAAAATGTTGATGTATCAAGATTTGAAGTGCCAATTCAACAAACTCTCAAGCACTTTTACTGGCCTTAATATTGCTGCAATTGTCTATGAAGGGACTGTTTTCTTAGTGAAGCGAATGCATACAGTAGAGCAATTTGATGAAAGTGCTGAAAAATTCACTCCTTTCATCATACATAAAGTAAAAAATTAAAGCATTATCAAGCCTCTCCCTCTTAGAAACTTCCCTTTAAAAATATGTATTTTGATATAAATGAGACACCTCCATTCAATTAATCACACAGAACTTGAGCTGACAGATGCAATGGAGACTTTGCATGCATGATTCCTGAAATGTTGAATGTTCCCGGAGGAAATTTTTGGAAAAGGAATGAAGATTGCCTCGAAAAAGTCTTTCAGTACCACCTAGGTTCGAAAAAGTCCCCTTTTGGGTCTACAGCTAAAGTTGGCGACTACCTACATCAACAAAATTTCTTCCTCAACATGCACACCTTGATTCATGGACTTAGGGGAAATCTTGATTGACTTACATCCAATTTTAAGACAGTCGAAGGAATTTTCAAACTGTTCTGAAGTTGCACGTTCAATGATTTCTCCAAGATAAGGTCTCCGTACAACATTAGGCAACCTAAAACTAGGTAGACACCTGCATTGATAACCTCCTCTCCGAAAACCATAACCATGGAATGGTTCACACTGAAATTTCAACAAGAAAATAAATTAATCATATAACCGCTGCAGCTACGTAGTTGAGCTATTTTTTCTTTTTTGAGTTCCCAATGTAACCTAATAATGACGTCTCATGGTAAAAGAAGAGCGTCTCTTGAAATTCCGTAACCTCTAGATTAAATTTTGCCACTCAAGAAACAGCAAATAAAAAACAAGGATTCTAGAAACACGTTTACAATTAAAAGTACGAACATAATCTTTTTAAAAAATACTGACCCCTCAAGTTTGTCAACAAATTGACGCAGAGGCTAGGGTAACATGTGTTGTACAGGTAACAAACCTCAAACAATCCAAAGCTGATGGTCTCAAAACCTTTAAAAGCCTCGCTGATACAGTAGAGAGAAGGCCCTATACTTATACATTTAACAAGTTGAAAGCTTGTCCAGTGCCTTGTCTGTGAAGCTTCAAGAGGCTTTTAGACCATCAGATCCGGACTCCTTTGGATGGATTACCTAGGAAAGTACCTTTTCTCCCAACCTTTTTCGTCAATCTTGCAACCTAACATTTTACTAAGGTTCCTATCAACTTCAGTCATTAGTATTTTAGCTAAGGATGGCTTAATTACGAACTTTTAGGTATTGTTTCAGATTTAAATTTGTATCTTTCCATTTTTAGAAAAAAAATTACAAAATTACGAAGGGGACACTGCTACTTAAAGTCAGGACTTTTCTTCCCTCCCTATCTAGCTGACTTGAGGCTGCTCTTAAAACTTTAGATACTTAAAGGCTATCAAACCTGTGAACAACATCTGCCGCCATCTGAGCTAAGGCATTTACTTCATTAAATCATTTTGAGAATTTCCAATAAAAAACTAATGACACTATATGATAAGAAGTTAGTACATTGAATGACAGTGGGTATAAAGCATCTCTCAGATTAGAGATAGAGAAGATGATATGAAGACATGGCCTGGCATAACTGATATTGCTCCGAACAGCTTCACCCTAAACGAGGAAAAAATGAGCTTGTATAGTAGTGTTTAATCCCTGAGTTTTTGAAAACTAGAGAGTGCAGAGAGTTCACAGAAATTTTACTCGAATGTTATAAACAATATTAACCCAAAACTAGTGAGCTCAAAACTGCATATTTTGAGCTCCCATTCAAACGCACATTGGCGAGCCACTAAAAATGCGCCTGACAGAGAGTAGCCGCACCTGGCGACTTACCTTTGCCGCGTCCTAGGGTCTGCACCCGATCCGGGCTATAGGACGTGGCAGAAGTAAGTCGCTGAGTGTGGCCGTTCTCCGTCAGGCGCTCACAGCGGCCATTTACAGCAACCTGCCAAAGCGCGTTTAAAGAGCTCGTTTTTTGTGGGTTGATATTTTTAAAAAAAATCTGAGAAAATTTCTGTGAACTCTCTGCGCTCTCTAGTTTTCAAAAATGAAGGAATTAAACATTGCTAAGCATGGTCATTCTCAAATGAGTCTTCACTTTTTCCCCCTTTATGATGAGTAAAGACACTGAAAATTATGACCTTGTATTAAATTCTGTATCTCTAACAGGTTAGTGACTTTTAGAAAAAAGACATCGAGATCAAAATTTATCTCTGAGTCTCAACAAGCTTACCTCCGTTGTTGCTTTCTTACATCGCGCAGTATCAGCGAAATGATTTGGTCCACTGTTACCTGGTCCTTTAGGACATTGATTAATGTCTATCCGATCAAAATCCATTTCCAGCACTGATACAGCTGTGTAACTGAAAAATGACAAAATATAAAGGAAACTTACAAATTTAAAAAAATTTTGAAAGCTCCGTACTAAACATCCATTAAAAATTGTTGAATAACCTAATTGAGCTGTCAATTTCTTACAATAGAAACTTAAATGAAAGTAAACAATAATTGGGCTTGAAAATAAAGGATAAAGACAGCTGGTTATGTTGATTCATTTTGGAGTTTTTTCCCAGTTGAAAATGAGTCAGTGGTGGCTTAAAAAGTCCTAAAAAAATTCTGTGACCTAAAGTTCTTTGGCTTTACTTATCCATGTGTTTTGGTTGATCTTCCATTATCTTGTTTTGAAGCTATGTATTTAGGTAGTCTAGTCAGTGCACAGTGTTCAGTTAGGTTTGGATTAAATTTTAGATCTCTCGTGTTGTGCACTACCAAGCAGGGGGATATTGAAACAAGAGAGCTCAACTCAAAGGAGGCACTGCTGTGCTCCACATAATTCCTAACACAGTAATGTCTGCCAGAGTTGTCAAAATAACATATTGGTGACCTAATGGGCAGCCGTTGAGCCTTGCAGAAATATAGTATACGTCTGTAGGCAAACTAGTGGTACATACTTCGTTTTTAAACAAAGCAAGAAATTGTAGTTCTTAATTGCAAAATGCAGTCCATTGCATACTCCCATCATCCCTGATATCACAAAATAACAATAAAATATTAAGTTCTATCTTCTTCCCCCCAAGTTTTAAATGACACCTAAGTATGTTTAAGTAGTTAGTAGCAAAGTGTTTGGCATGGTTTGACACCAAAGTTTCATCAACCACTAAAAACTTATGTCTATGAATTACTAAAAATTTAAAAATTTCAACTCACGTTGGATACTCGATGTGTCTGAACTGAGTATGTCTGGGATAAATATCAGCGATTGGACTGACAGCTGCAACAAGCCACTTATTTGATCGACCACAATCAAAGTAAGGTCTGGTCCATTTGATCGGACCTGGATTCTCATCAGAGCCTGCAAATACCCAAAAAGAGATCTGAGGAATTGGCCTTCATTTTTAATTTCTGTTCTATCAAACTGACTATTCAATTTTAAATTAAAACTTGCGGACCTGATCTGAATAGAGCTTGCTTTTACATTTGTACTGAGTTAATAATCTAGAAACTTGAAGAGAAGTAAAAAAGTAAACATTGCATGGAGGTAAAAAAACAGGCATCACTAAGATCAAACATTTTTCATCAGCTGTAGTTTTGTAACTATTAAACAAAAATGAGTCTACTGCATCCGTATCCTTCAAACATATTGAAAACATGAAGACACACTAAAATAGTAAAAATGAATATTGACGTTGAAAATAAAGAGGCACATTCATTTCATCGAATTTCTTGGGCACATTTTGCTCCTACACAGAAAATTGGCTATGACCAATTTGTAAACTTTTGTAGGAATTCACTACAGGCGCAGAAACTTGTGGCGCCTCACTACATGACTGCTGTCACCCAAAGAAAGAAGAAGGTCAGAATGCATTAGTGTGACTATCACAGGAATTCATTAATTAAAAAAAGAAAGTGGTCCTTTAAAAATTGTTGAAAAAAGAAAGTTTGAGGGCCAATTTGAGAAATGGAAAGGCTGGACACTTTCTACATCTTCGGAGCTTGCTACTACTTCAAAACTAAACTTTTGAAAGGCTCTGCATGAAAATACTAGGGGATTCAAGGCTGCCTTGATTTTGTGAAAAAAATTATGGTCCATGACTTTTATTAGATGACCCTCCAAAATGCTGCGCATCTTAAAAGTAGTTTACTTTAAGATACGTGATATCCCATAAATTCAAATCTCTGTCTCAATTTGCTCAAAAGTTACAGGGGTGTTGCAGGTATTGCACATCACCTTTACCCTGTATATTCTCATCTGTGAAAATGGAAGAAGTTGCAGGACTTGCGCTTCACCCTGAATATACTAATTTGTGACTACTGGTTGAAAATTGTTTGTTCCATTATTTGCTGTAATTTATTTATAGATATACATATAATTTGTTTTATAATTGATACAAGTATAAGTGTTTCTGTATTCATTTATGTCAACAGGTAACGTGAGGGGCTCACCTGGGGGCCCGTGGAAGGTGAAGGTCTGGTTTGTGTTGTTCGCGTAGCGAATCTCCACTTGGTAAGTTGTTTTTGTATCATGCCTTCCTATGACATTATCAGGCAGCCATTGTTTATACCTGGAACATAGAAAAACAATTATAAGAAGGCATAACAGAGGGTCACTTACGAGAGATTTTGAAAATGTAGCATTCGAACTGTCATTCCTTCTGCTGACATAATGGTGTCTGGAATCCTTGTACTTAGTGCCTTAATTCTTAATACTACCTTCATTTTAAGAGAAAAATTTTCGATGAAAATCTAGGATTTACTTTTACCTCCTTTGAAATTCTTTAGAATCTTCATCTGCATTTTGAGCAAATGTATGAAACTTAGGCTGAATACTTGGTTAAAAATTCCATAGCCAGAAGTAACTTACCATTCGTTGATTCTATAGAAATCTGTCGTATAATCCATGCTCATACTTTCATTTGAAATTGCTCCAAGATCTCGGACAGTGAAGGTGTTGGTGGTAGAAATCTTTTCCAGATGTATAGGATCATTAAAGTCATCGGCTCTGAAAAAAAAAGAGGAAAAAAACAGGTAAAATATTGATAGGAATTCAACCTCTTGAAAATATGAAAAGTTGGTGTCTGCGTTAGTCACTGGAGAGGGTTCATGACAAAAATTCATCCTGCAGAGCCTGACAATACAGCCACCGGTGCTACTGTTCCCCCTTTATGATCCGTTTGGAAATAAGTATCTTCTAAAGACATATCCTGTATGGGATGAAATCTGATATGTTAGAACAAATAGCAACTGAGCAGTTCTGACTTACAGCAATATGAAATATAACACTTGCAAGTCGATTGTTGACTCATTCATCACAATATTGTTCAAACCTCGAATGATACAAGCGCTAAAATGCTAGACCTGAGGAACCACTTTCTCACAACTAAAAAACAGCAGAAGCAGGTCTCTAAAAAATTCTGAGATTAGTGTGGTGCTATGATAATGAATATACATAGTTTACATATCCTACTTACATCCTCTGTTAGACAATGCCCCCTAGAGGTTAATGCTTCTTTCAAGCTTCCACAAGGGGAATTCCCAAGGATATCTGGTCCTTTTTCTTGGATTAGGATTGTAATAGGTGATGATGTAAACACTTTCCCCAGCCTCAATATTGAATTGTTCTTTACGCATAATTATTTCATTCCTCCAGTCAGTTTTTAAAGCCACATTAGTTCAAACATCTCTTTCTCGTCCATTCAACCCTTCATCTCAATAATCATTTTCTAAATTAAGATTACTTGATCGACAAGATTAGAGACAGTCAAAGCCGAACAGCCAATAGGAAGTAACTGATAACTTGCAGTGAGTTTGCCTATACTTAAAATACCCCAGAAAGCTGAAAATTTTAGTCTTTTTGCCATCTTCTGACCCACAAGCATTGTGTGGGGTTCCTCTCTCGAGTAGCCCAACACCGTGGATTCTTTCGTGTAACCATCATTGCCCTTACGTGTTTTCAGCTCTATTTGGTTTTCTATCAAGTTTGTGTCTGCTAGATTGTGCGTCTTGAAATTTAATAGAAAGTGATCAAATCTTGAACTTCATAATTATCTGTATTTTTCGGCCACATCGTTTATTTATTTATTTAGAGTATTTTATCTCTTCTAACCCTTTCCCGTTGACAAGTAATTACCTGAAAGTGCGAGGAGCAAATCTAGGCATTGTTTTGTTGAAGAATCCGCGGTATGAAGGTGTGTATGACATGTTCGGAGAGAAGTAAATTGCACTAGCGTTGACATACGGGTTGGCAGAAACATCAGCCACGGTTGAAAGAAAGTAATACATCATTCCAGGATCGTACGTGTCATTACTAGCCGGTCGAATCAACCGACTTTGGAGTATGTAACTGAAGAAGAATGCGCGACTCATAGCTAAGTTATGCAGGTGTAGAAGAGCTGTTCGGTTGGGGTAAACAGGGTTAACATTTAAATCCTTGACATCTGGAAGATGTGAGACTGAGTCCTCTGGCAGAAAGAGATCGGAGAGATGTTGAATTTGACAATTATCGGCATTTACTTTATCCATCTGCATCCTAACTTCGTCAAAGGCATCCCTAGCTTGCCACTCGTACTGAGCGTACACGCCCAGTTTCAACAACGAAATAACACCCAGAGACGAGATTATTGCCCACCAAAATAACCGCATGACATATTCTGTGGACCCCCTCATATTTGTGTTGCTATGATTTATCACAAAGTTAAAACATGATACAAACGAATAGAATTTTAAAGTATTAATAAAGTTCAAAAACACGACACATCAAGTAACTGACTGAAAATGAAAACATTGCAAAAAGAAGAAGCAAGGGCGGGGGCAAGACGGATCCTCACAGGTCAGTCGATACTGCTAGTCCACCATATCCCGTATGACGTAGATTTGGCGCATTAGACGCGCCGTACAGTGGATCGAGTCAATTGGAGAGGTCGGACATGAAATTTTTGACTAAAACTGCAAATTTTGACGTTCATTTCGTCACATTTAGAATTTTAAGGGGTGTCTCTGATAGAAAATTTCACGAGGAAACCATTGAAACCACTTTTAAAACCTCAAAGTTCTGTATAAACGGTGTTATAAGCGTTTAAAGTTTCCAAATTTTATCCGACCTCTCCTATTGACTCGATCCACCGTGCGCCGTTTGGGGTTTGGAAGCCAACTCGAGAGGTCTACTAAAAAGTTTAAGGTTTCTGAAATGGGATAAACTAAAAGAAATTAGAAATACTTTTTCAACAGTTGATAAAAGACTTTTTTCTTACTAATTTTGTGGGCACGGTTAGTAGAGAGACAATTGCAACTTTCTAGGGGCTATAGAGTTTGAGGGAATATATTCCAAGAGCCACCCTAGTTTTTTTTTACAAAAATGTAATTCGGTTCGGACAAATACTTTTGGGACCAAATTTTAGCCCCGATTTATGAGAAGTTTCGACGGAATAGAAGAAGATAGAAAATAATTCGCAACACCCGCGTATTTTCCCTCTTTAAAAAATAAGAAAAAAAATAGCATTTAATACCTAATCTAAAAACAGAAAGTCATGGACTTCAAGGTTTCATTACATTCTTGAGCAGTTGAAATTTACTTGGAAACGCATTTAAATCACGTGACATTAATACATTTTATCATGACAAATAAATTACAATTTTTTTCCAGTTTAAAATAAAATTCTGTGATGTATAGAAAATTGCAATTGTTTTGCAAATAAAAGTATGTAATAATTTCAAGATATACAATGCAACATCTCAGTTATAATGCAAATTGGGAGGGGTAATTTATTACAATTATGCTTTTAAAGTATATGATACAAAAAAAATCCAAGAAAAGTCAATGGACTGGATTGCAAGGCAGGGTATGCATAGGTGAATGAGCATATTACTTTAGAATAATAAGTGGGGAGAAAATTATTGGCAAAAAGGGGAGCGAGTGAGCGAGCGATGGGTTAGGGGGTAGAAAAGAACAGACACCATCGCACTGCACTATGGATGCTGAAATGGAAGACGTGGAGTTCAACTTGGAGTTCGGCAGCGATTGGCGAAGTTACAGGCGAAGTTGGCCATAAAAAAGAGAGATCTATTTGTGCAAAGTTGTTGAAACAGCGTCACTGTCGAGTGAGGATGTATGAAAGGAAGTTGAATTCAAAAAGTGGCGCTTCGGAAGAGAGGGCGATAGCCAATCGGAGAGGCGCGTTCTGCGGAGATGGGTTCAAGAGTGCTCGTTCTCATTCAGATGAGAACCCCGTCACCCCATGGATTCACGCCGACCGCGTCCATATTTTTTCCGTGTATAACAATTTAATTTTAAGGTAAATGGTCCTTGGCAAATTCAAAATTATTTCACCCGTCAATTATTTCGTCGCTCCCAGTTCTCTAACTATTAATTTTAATCTCCTGTTTCCTCTTATTTCCGTGTATTTTGCTTGATTGTGGGTGTTGCGCCGGCCGGTGACGGCGGTCAGGCTCTCGGGGACCCAAGTACTCGATTTTTGCAAGTGCGAATTTGCAGAAAATTATCTACCCCTTTTATCACCGGGCTGTCTGAAAAGTATCAGTTACATGCTCTCTTAATTAATTATCCGTGATTTAGCTCTTGTGTGTGTATCTAAGACCTTCCTTAGAGTCTATTTTGAAAGAAATCTGTTAACCGTAAAGCATTTTACCGTCGCTTTGTGCACATGTATCATATCGGTTGTGATAGCGAAAATTACATTTTAGCGATGGAACTGGTTTATCCAACCTATCGCCTATGTGTTTGTTTGTGTTCATTCGTCAAATATTACTGATGAATTTTCTCGAGGAGTTTTATTTTCTTGGCCCAATTAAGTGTTCTCGTTCGACTTACGGTACTTCTCTTGTGAGGTAGGCCTAGTTCTACATGTACATAATCATGGAAGTTGTTTTTTTTTTAGTATGTACTCAATTTCCTTGAAGGAATTCGCGAATGGAAATTGCAAATTTTTAACCTTTCTGGTATTGCTTTCATTTGCTCCAAATTCTGTTTGTTTACATCTCTCTGTGATCGATTTTCTTCTTTTTGCTCATGTATACTTTAGTTTCTACTTCTTCGTATAGTTTTAAATTGGATGGTTTTGCTCAGTTCTTTCGTTATAGTTTTGGCTTGTAGCTTTGTCTTGTTAAATGCATTGGATTCTTCCCTGTAATTTTTTCGCCCATCCTCTTATTATCAAAACCTTGAATGTGAAGTTGTTCTCTTCCTATCTAAATATAGAGTTTGAAGGTTTTAAATTTCAATTCAATCTTCTAGGCATTTATCCGAAAAACTGTTAACAAACGAATTTGTTATCTTGGATGATCAGATCAATGGTACCACAGGCCTTGCACTTCGTGTATTGTACTCTGTAGTTTTAGAGGTCTTATTCTGTAAATATTTGTGTAGCCTGTAATCCTGTTTCGTATTGAACTTGAAAGTCAAGGTGTCATCTTTGGCCAAGGATTTGAGTTATCTGAGGATCGTAGATGAAATTAACCTCAATCGGCTGCTTCATCAGTCTCCGTACTGCTCATTTCTTTATACCAGAAAAATTTGATGCAGAACCAACAGTTGTCATGGGTCATATTCTGAACTAGAGCTAGCTCATTGCATGTTGATATTAAAGTCATGTGTTGTCATCCTCTAAGTTCATTAGTAGTGCCACCTGAATGCAATGTGAAACGGAAGGTGCCTTGACAAATTCACTTGATGGCTGTTGTGTGACTCAATGAGTTTTGTTCATCTCTGATAGATTTACTTCTAAGATGGTTGTTTAACGAATCGCCCAACATCTCTAATGTGAATTGGTCAGGTGGTGGGCCCTTGATTTGTTTTTGTTTTCATTTTCTGACACAATGATAACTCATTGGTCAGCAACAACGAGATAATGTCCATCAAAGCTGTCTGACTGTCAACTTTGATTAGTTTTACAAAGCATCCTATGGTAAAGCCTGTCTAGTGGTGCTACTCCAAGGGGGGTCTCAATCGACCCCTTCAGACACAGTGTGCTAAATTTCAACGCTTTTAGTCTACTCAAAATCTTTCACAGTTGTTTAGCCAAAATCTCTCTGTGCCTTGCACCATAATTCTGGTGCATTTTTCAACTCAGATCTTAACCAAGGACTTATACATGGAATGTATGACTGTGTCAAAGTTAATTTGCCCCTTCTGCAGCTCGAGCAAAATTATCTTCCCTGTGCTGTTGTGAACTGTTGAATCAGGTTTTGTGATGATCCACCTCTCCATGTTTTAACTGATCCTAGGTGAATGAACTCGAGTAAAAACTTCGGCTACAGTAAGACATGCCAAACTTTCCAAGCTGTCAGTCAGTGAAGATTTCTCCTTGTTTAAGCCTTGCTAACTCCTTGTTTTTTCGAGTTTTTTTTCATAGCACTCTCTTTGCAAGCTTTCATAATCACCTCTGTAGTTTAATGGCCACAATAAGGACTGTCTATCCTCAAATTATGTTATCCCGTGTAATAATCAAATCAGCCTTGGTGATGTAGTGGTTATGGTAGTTGGCTGCCAGCCTTGAGGTTCCCGGTTGAATTCCCTGTGGTCACCGGTTTCTAAGGACACTTGAAAATTTGTCATCATGGCTGTAGATGACCATGTCACTCCAAAACTCTGCATGTCCCTTGGAGGCACCGAAGTCCAAAAGGGGCATGGTCATTGGGTAGTAATTAGTCTGCACTATTTGGTTGTGTTTCAATTAATGGATCCTTTTGAGTGTGCACTTCTGCTAGTCGAACCTTTCATTAGTTGATAAAAACAAGGAAGTCAAACGTGGTGAGGGCATGAACAAGGTCCAAAATCTCGCTCACAGTAGAGTCTGTCATAGTTTCTAATCGAAGTAGCTTACTTTATTGGTTGACTAGATGGCTGCTGAGACTTGTCGAAATTTGACTAAAGCTTTTGTTATGCCACCTCTCAGAGATTGAAGAGCATAGTTAAGCAACTTTAACTTCAACTGCTTAACCGCAGGGGTCCTACCTGCCAATACCCCAAGTTTAATCAAATCTTAGGAGAGGAGCCCTTGACCTATAGCGTGTGTGTTTGGACATAACCAAACAATTGGTCTAGCTTATTTTGGTGCTCGTAGTCAGTCTCTGCTTTGATGCCTCGTGATGTTTTTTATCAGACCTGTAGCCTTACTCCTAGCTACTGATGCAGCACCTCGCAAAACCCCAACTTTCTCAGAGTCATGTTAATAATTTAGTGAACACAAATCAAATGGGAGAAGGGTTTTACTTGAAAAATCTCTCATTGTGATAAGATGCATGTCCGTGCCAATAGGTTTAATGAAGCGGCAAGAATCTGGCATTAAAGTTAAAGCCGGGGCTCCCTGCGTTTTGATCAAAAATTTAAATTTTGAGGACGGATTAGTTAAGTGTACTAGAGTAATCATTCATGGAGCATTTTTTATCCTCAAGGTTTCAATCTCTGTAAATACTCCTGTATTTAAAAGGTTGTAGGATCAAGCATGAGATTATCCAAGATCTAATCTACCCTACTAATTGTATCAGTGATTTGTCTCTTGTTAATCAAAGGTTATTTTCTTTTTAGCCATGGCAGAAGGAAATGGGGAGGTGGTCGATGACAAGCCGTGTGTCAAAGCCGAGCCCCATGTTGTAAGGACTGAAGACTATCGTAAATTGATAGACTACGGGCTAAACGAAAAGGTTGCGGGGAAATTGGACGAAATTTACAAAACAGGTGAGGCATAGCTGTAGCTAAACTCCTATCAAAATCAATTTACACCTGTAGAATCGCCTCTACATCTCTCCATCACTATGCTTAACCACGTAAACCAAACAAATATTGTGCCACCGGAATCACTTTTGTCAAAGTAATCTAGATGGAGTCTACTTATTCTGAAGTCAAGCAATCTGACCTGCCAATTTTTGTTGGAAGTGAAATCTTGCCCTATGGATGATGATCTCTAAGGGACACCCTCTTATTTTAACGATGAGATTTTCTATTGAAATTTTACTCTTGTATGATTCAAAGGAAATATTGAAATTGAATCAACTGTAAGTATTGTAATTCTTTCCAATTTGCATATCAATGGCCTCAGTGGAAAACTATGTAAGTATCTCCTCTGTGGGGTTTTTAAGAAATTACAGTTACTAAATTTCCTAAGAAAAAATTAAGTATGACAAGAAGCTGCAACATTGCAAACGCAGGTACTTAGTTTCACACTTAGGTCATCGATGTCTTTCTAAGGTTCCTTTGAAATGCCATAAAATATGGTTCCAATGTGGTTTTGAACTGTGGTCTATTTTTTCCTTGTTTTTATTTTAATTTTTTTTCAGTTGACAAACCATGTCATGTAGAGTATCAAATTACAAGTAAGGTTACCGCTACTTCAAAGAATGAAGACTTTCAATGTCATATTCTGATTGATAATTTTGACTTTGACAATCCTTTTTTTTTTTTCATTATCTTTCTAATGTTGATGTTTTCTATTCTTTAATCGTGCTTTTGACCCTCAAAGTTTAATGGGATTTTTAAATGATATTGACCTTCATTCATCTTCCAGTCTATTACATCTTGTTCTGTATGTTGATTGCAGGTAAACTTGTCCATGCCGATTTGGATGAACGAGCTTTAGACGCCCTAAAAGAATTCCCAGCTAATGATGCATTAAATGTTTTATCACAATTCTTGGAATCAAATTTAGAACACGTATCAAATAAATCAGCATACCTTTGTGGTATTATGAAAACTTACAGGCAACAAAAAGGTAGAGGCGGCTCTGGCATTTCAGCAGCTAACTCAGTCGGATCTGCGACCAAAGGTCCTGACGACGAAAAAATTAAGGTAAGTCAGAATTTTCATTGATTCCTTATTCAGGGTGACCATTCAGGCAAGAAGCTATTGCAAATCTGAGGAAGTGAGAGAAGTTCGCTCAACCCTGAAACGTCAGAGAATTTCATCGCAGAACCTTGAAACTCGAACTATTTAACTCCGCACTCTCACACTATGTTGATGATAATTGGACTTTGAAAATCAATCACTAATCTTAATCATATTTTTACCTTTAGCATTCACTTTAGTTTTTAGTTGATTTTATCCACTGAGCTAGTTGCTTAGTTAATTTATAGTCTGTATTGATAGAAGTAAGGCTCTTGTCGCAGAAATTTTCTGGGAGTTCGTTGACTACCAGATACCCTCTGAAATCAATTTAAAGTGCTCCAAGATTCGGGATTTCATAATGATAGGAGTGTAAGCCAGTGAAAAAATATAGAAAAAGCAAAGAAATTTTCTGTCTGAAATCTCCCCGTCATACCTGTGGATTATGCATATTATCATCAAGTGCAGTCTCTGCCTATAAGTTTTATATTTTGGAATTGTTTGAATTTCAAGAAAGTCAATCAACATTCATCTGAAAATGCTCAACCAATCAACATTTAATGAGCCCACAATTTTCTCCTATTTGACAGTAGCCTTATCTTACAATTTTTTCTGGGCTGGCTTATCGGAAATTGCCTCTTCCTCGATATGACCTTCAAAAACAGGCTCACTTCCTCTTCATGAACTGTTTTAAAGTTCTTAAACTCCTAGCTGATAGCGGGCGATTTCGTACCAAAATGGCGACCGGTGGTTCCACCGATCAGAATAAAAAAACCCCTTTAGAAGGTGCTATGGTATCATGGTGGTATCAGGGGCAGAAATTTTCCCACAATATCAAGGAAGGAAGTCACAGCAAGGCTCCCAGTACTGAAGTCATTGAAAACTCAGAATCCTGTAGCACAGAGTTTAAAAGCAAATTCTGCGCTGTTCACGTGTCCACCAGTTTTCCTCTCTTTCAGTTTGTTCTTTAATCTTTTATTTTTTGCAGGCTATTTTAGAACGAACGAATTATTCATTAGATGTAACGACTGGTCAAAGAAAATATGGGGGACCCCCTCCAAATTGGGAAGGTCCTCCTCCAGGCAACGGCTGTGAGGTAAAAAGAACTTTGTTATTTTTTCTTTCCTTGGATACCCAATAAATGGATAGACTTCCTGTTTATTGGGCATTGTTCACTTAGAAGTCAAATTGCCGTTGAATATATATGCATTAAATCTATGTTGTTAATATTGGAACATTGATTAGGCCTTAAGAAAAAGCTAGACTTGAGGAAGAAATCTCTTTAGGCATCAAAACCTGCCATTCATTACGAAAATCAATTTCCAGAAATTGGTGGGTGATGGGAAAAATTGAGACCATTTTCTGCTGCATCAGCAAAAATCTGGTGGAAGTAGCTTTATCCGACACCTGAAGAAAATGATTTGCCTGTCTTTTCAGATGCGGAACAAACGGACCAGCTTCACATGGATAGGGGGGNGGGGGGGGGGGGTATTAGGAAAGTATTGAAGGCCAACAAACAGTACCGCCTAACTGACAATTTTGGCAAAAACGAGTCAGCAACTATGCTACATTCTATAATATAAAATATGCAAGTTGGTGTTTTTAGTTTTTTCCAATTCTGTAGGGGAGTTCTTTAATGATGCTGTAATGTAGGAAAGAAATACCAATCTAACCTTAAAATTGCAAAAATGTTTTCTCTTTGCTCTGCAAAATTGTCAGTTTGCAGGTAGGCGGTATTGTTCGTTAGCCATTGTTATGCTATTTAACTCGGAAAGCCTTTTTATCAGACACGTTAGGGAAAATTTTTAGGTCTGTTCTTCAAGTTTTCCTTTGTAATCTAGACTGCTGAATCTGAAAATGACCATAGTTTTTCACAATCATGCCCCTATCTCCTGGTAAATTGAAATTTCCTGAGTAAAGCCAGTTTCTTTTTTAGACTAATTTTGCTTTTCCAGAATACTGGTGGGTCTACTGTAAGAACATATGTCATTTTCTGACTAAGCACTCAAAATTAATCAGGAATTTTCTATTAAATCTCCAGCACTTTTCAACATTTATTTCTGTGTAACATGTTTTTTTTTTTTATCATTCTAGGTTTTTTGTGGCAAAATTCCTAGGGATATTTTTGAAGATGAATTAATTATACTTTTTGAAAAAAGTGGTACTATTTGGGATCTAAGGCTGATGATGGATCCTTTGACAGGAACAAACCGGGGCTATGCATTTATCACGTACACTAATAGAGAAGAAGCTGCCAAAGCTGTAAAAGATGTAAGTATTTGTATTTTTCCCCTCTCTTTATTTCTTTTTTACTTCCTCAAATACCGCACAAGTGGTAATCCTGCGTTTTAAGTAAGAGTCACATCCTGCTTGAGGAACCTGCTAAAGCCCTGTCACACCTCCTCAGGACAGAGTTTCTACAGGTGTAATTTGAGTGATCACCCCTGATCAAGGGTTATTATTGTTTTTTATCATTATTTTCTCTCTCTCTCTCTCTTTTTTCTTTCTTTTCCTTTAACTTCCTGTCTAACCCAAAATTTGTATGAAGAATATTTCCTAGGTTGTCTCCTCTTTGCTCAAAAAGGGTTTCTATTAGTAGTCCCTGTCATGTTATGCCATCTGTAGTCCGTTTCAAAACAAATATCATGCTATCTTTGTTGATTCTCATGTAGTTGCTCCGTAGGGAAATTCAATCGAATTATTTCACAACAAACTGATTCTTAGTGAAATAGCTTATTCCTGCGTTCTCCCTTTCTTGTTTTCGGCCACTTTTCCAAATTGGGAGGTCACCTTGTTTTCTTTTTTCTCCCTCCTCCCCTCTTTTCAAAGTTGAACAAAATTTTGTATAATTTCTTCCTAATTCTGTATTCCTAAAATTGAGCAACACATCTTGTCTGTGATCTCTGCCGCGTTCTTACTAAAATCAATTGCACATTGAATCAAATATATATAGCAAATTAATAAGTTAATTAGATCAGAATTGAGGGAATAGAATTGAAACTGTTAGTTTTCATCATTAAATAAGGTACAAGGCCGTCAGTTCTAGTGCCTCAATTGATCTTTTTTCATTAGCCTAATGCAGCATAAATCTTGCATCAAAGGTTCCGACAATCCTGAAAACCTTGAAGGTCAGGAAAATTCAGAGAATTTATGGCAACCCGGAAAAGTCAGGGAGTTTAGCAAGTAATGAGTAGCAACTTCAGCTGGTGCCATTAGAGAGAGAGCAAGCAACTTCTGAGTGACTTTTTCCTTGATTCGAATTCCTAGAAGTGGAGTTTTGGTCCATAGAGTCTATAATTGAAAGGGGAAAAAATGTAAGCAGAGGTTTTGATTGTAGATGAGAGAAAGTTTTAGAATTCAAAAATTTTGCAGACAAGGAAAAGCAGAAAAAAAGCTAGGGATAGTCAGGGCATTGAAGAAAGAAGAAATTTTAAAACTTTAATGTAAGGAAATATCATACTCTCCATGTTCATCGATTGACACCAGTTTTTGCGTATGAATTTGAGTTATCGCTATAAAAACTATCAGCCTGCTGGGATGGAGGTGCCTGCAGATGCACTGAATCAACCGCCAAGAATGTTAGTGGGAGAAGTATTTCCTGTCCCCATAGCGCATTTAGAAGAAAAAATCAACTTAATTTAAATGCAATGTGTTTGAACATTTTTTATCAATAAGATTAGCCCCACTCAAAAGTGGAAGTTATAGAATTTTCTTTTTTTAGGAAGAAAGCTTCTCAAGATTTTTCGATTTTCTGAGCTTTGCTCATAAGAATGTGAACCTAATTTGTAATATACAGCAGTGAATAGTTCCACCTGGTTTTAAGGGGACTGTTGATTTTTTACATCACTTGTATTGAGGTTTTTTAAGTAAATCATGATTTTTGTGGAGGAAGGTTATCAAAAACTTACTTTTTATTTTAAGTCGTAGCTCAATTCCAGGTTTTTCCTTTTTGATTCTCTAAGAGAGCAAATTGAAAGCTTGTTGATTCTTAGAGATCCATTGTAGGAAGACAAGATGTGCTGAATCGAGCTGTCCTGTTATTTGTTTTCTATTAAATGTTCCAAATTTTGCACATTTGTTTTCTTTTGTTAAATTCTGCAGCTCGATAATCATGAAATCAGACCCGGAAAGAATCTAAAGGTTAACATTAGCGTCCCGAATCTACGACTTTTTGTTGGCAACATTCCTAAATCTAAAGGCAAAGAGGAGATACTGGAAGAATTTGGTAAATTAACAGGTAATTTTTTTTTCTTTCCATTCTCTTTTTTATTCCTTGTTCACCTTCTTTTCATTTACTTGATATCTGTAACAATCATCTCCCCCCCCCCCCNCATTCCCCTGGTAATAGGTAATCTGTTTCCACGAGTCATACTTTTTTTGTGTATCAAAATCTTGACCTAATCTTGTGTTAAGGCATATTGAAGAATTGAGCCTCCTCTTTTCCTGAAAAATGAATGTTTTTGAAGTATTTTGTATCCTCTTTTGATTGTCAATTCAGCTGTGCCTGTCCACTACCATAATTAATTCTTTCTTTATAAGCGCCATGGTTGCCATTTTTTCTGTATTTTTTACTAGTTATCAATACATTCTTACTCGTGCGCCCCAAGCAGCATGAAAAATAACATGAAGAATACCCTTTATCAAAAATTGTAGTTTATTTTCTTAGTGTTGATTCACTATATCGAATGATAGGTTCATCTTAGAAAACTGGAAATGGGACTTAAGCAGAGTCATTTTCTCCTTGTTGGTTCTATTGCAGACCAGGGATTTGCCTGCTGAAAAATTTGTGGCCAGTCTACCTGAGAATCCGGTTCACAGAATTCTCAGAAATGTGTAGTGGGGACTGCAAATCTCAAACCCTTGAATGCCTGTCATCCTGAACAATGGCTGCAACAGTACCCTCGGTTTTTTTGGTCCCTTAAGTTGATTACCAGGCATAGAGCCAAGCAGTAGCAAAGACAAATCCTGACCTAACAGCTTTATTGGAAGAATCGTCCACAATCCAAAGGAGTCCTCTGCACACGCTTCTTTCATCTCATTTCTAGTTGGAAGGGTAGTCAAGTAATGTCAATATCAGAAGTGGATGATGTAACACTGCTCTTGCTTCAATTCTGCTGACGAACACTTTTTCACAAAGGAACATCAGACACGGTAGACAGCAGCTGGTTGACTGAAACTGCCACCGAATAAAAATCATCGGACTCAGAAGTATCGCTCTCTGAACAAGTTGAAGTTTGCATCAATACCGGTTGTTGAAGGGCTGCCTTCATAATTTTGTCTTCTTTTAATCTTTGAATTATTTTATTTTATTCATTTTTCCTTTTTTTTTGACAGCGGGACTGACGGAAGTAATCATCTACAGTTCGCCAGACGATAAGAAGAAAAATCGAGGTTTCTGCTTCCTTGAATATGAGTCGCACAAAGCAGCCTCTTTAGCAAAACGAAGACTCAGTACAGGTCGAATCAAAGTATGGGGCTGTGACATCATTGTGGACTGGGCAGATCCACAAGAAGAGCCAGACTCAGAAACTATGTCCAAAGTAAGATCAATTCTTTATTAATTCTTCATGGGTTTTATTTTTATGCCATTTTTATTGTCAGAGAATGAATATATTTTGAGTTTTGATTCCCCTAAATTTCTCCTAAACATTGTTCTAAGACACCCTTGATGCCTGTTACTGGTGAAAATAACAATCCGTCAACAAGGGAATTTTGGCATGCTTGTATTGAAATACCCCTCAACAATCTTGCTCCCAACACCTGCTTTTGGGTAAAAAAATTGAGATCTTTGGGATCCTCCAAAGCAGGGAGAAGTGGGTGGGCAAGTGGTGACGAAAAATGGTCTCATAGAAATTGAGTTCATTCCTGCAAACCCCACTACAGTTTTATCCTAAGCCTATTTTATAGTTAAAAAAATACCTAAAATGTATTTTCTTCATACTTGGTTGATACAGTATAATTTGGAAGATGGAGCAAGGAACTTTACTTTAAGTATTAATTTTGTTGATGTCCTATATTTGTATTGTATGCTTTCAGGTAAAAGTGCTTTATGTAAGAAATTTAACACATGATTGCTCAGAAGATAAACTAAAAGCAACTTTTGAGAACTTTGGGAAAGTTGATAGGGTAAAGAAAATAAAAGACTACGCATTTATTCATTTTGAAGACCGGGATGCTGCAGTTAATGTAAGTAGCAAACTTCTATAATATTTACTTTATTTTCTTCCTCTCATGGACTTTTTTGTGGGGCAAGGATAGGCTAAGAATAAAAGTGATTCAAACAATCTGAAAAGAATCCCTTAATTTGATTGCAGACAATTTTCTTCTCTTTAAACAGCCGCTCTGGCTTGATTTGCCCAGCACTTATTCTTTATGCGTTAACAAGCACTTCTCAGCATGACTTGAGGGGCCAGGGGCTCGGACTCTTAATTGTGCTTTAACAGGGAGGTAAGAATTAGAGAAAGCTGGAAATTTTGAGTGACCAGGAAATATCAGAAAAGGACCTTGCCTACAATACTACAGAATTCAAGGAAATTGCCAATAAATTTCAAGATAGATTTGATATGATATTCCTTGCTATCTCCTAAGTAAGGTGAGCTTCTAAAATCGCATTTTCTATGTGCCAGTCTCGAAAAAGCCGGTCTGATATGTGCATTTTTCTGTAATTTAACACATGTTATAGTACGGAAAAGTGACTTCGTCCTGAGTTAAAGATGTGGAGCCTTTTGTTTTGAACAAAGTTGACATGCCGAATGCTGTAAATTCTAGAAAAACAATATTGTCAACTCGAGTGGAAGTTGAATTCTATAGCAAAAATGTGGATAGAAGAGTCAATTATATGTATGAAGTAAATATAGGTGGGAATAGTTCTGCTGTATGATCTTGTTTTAATCAGTTATGTTGCTTAATTGTGCTAACAGGCAATGAACGATTTAAATGGTAAAGACATAAATGGAACATCAATCGAAGTTTCATTAGCCAAACCTCCGTCCGATAAGAAGAAGAAAGAAGAAATTTTAAGGGCTAGAGAAAAAAGGATGATGCAAATGATGCAGTTCAGAGGAATTGGGTATGCTTTCTATTTCACTGTTTTGTCTTTTTATAAATTACCTTACTTTGCTGCTTCTAATCAATTCATCTGTTAGTATGACCATCACTGTTTGTATTATATTCCTTCTTGTCCGAGTAAGTGCAAGTTCACTGTTATTTTTTTACTCCAGTAGAGGTTTTAAATGCATCACCATTTTATGTGATCTTAAAACTTCCTCTTGGAAACACCATACAAACACTCTTTATACTCTGTCAATTTCAATTTAATCGATTATTTTGTGCAAAAAATCGATTTCTGCCAAAATCGAAAAAAACCAACAACACTATTATGTGGAAAGCCCTATACTCAAATGAACAAATATTGAATACTTAGATAAGATCAAAATACAGTAAGACCTCGAATTATTGGATCGTGATTTAACGGATTCCGAGATTTTACGGATCGATCCTCCGGTCCCTTCAGCGGGGCCGACTAGCGGGATTTAACGGATTCGGCCTCCGGTCCTGTGAAATCCAATAAATTGAGGTCTTACTGTAGTTAATCATCTGCAATAATGTAAGTAACTTGCATACTAATCATCCCTTTTTCTTTATATTTCAGTTATGCCCCTCAACACCCAAGTATGTTAGGCCCAAGAGGATCATCAGTCACGAGAGGTGGCAGTAGTTCTTTAAGAGCAATGGGACGAGGAGATTATGGTAAGTTAGAAGTCTATTCAGTGTGCTTGCATCAGCTTGATTTTAATCAATCATCTTGTATATTTACTCCGACAAGATCCTCCGGGTCACTCAGTGCTCCATATCTATCTCTTATGCAAGCTGCGCCTTTTATGGCTTAACTGTCAGAGCATGATACATAAATTTCCTTCTTTCAATCAGTGCATTTGAAAGGTGCCACATTTCCCTCTGTTTAATTTGTGAGGCATAGTTCCAGAAATCTCATTTGTATGCACAAACCAAAAAAAACAGTAATATGTCCAAGGAAACTGCATGAGCATCAAAAACTTTCTAAGTAAATAACTAATTATTTATTTATTTATTTGAATCTCCTATCATTTCAATTTTTGATCATTAGCTGATGGGGAAAGAGTAAATTTCTCATTTAAGACTTAAAGAAACCTTGAGAAGAACCATGAAGAATCCATCCCCATCCTTGTGCTTTAGTGGAACGCCTTTGATGCATTTGATAAAAGAAGTGAAAGATAACAAATGTGTGGCAGTTATGACAGGTTTTAAAGCTTGCTTCATACATTTATTCCAACCCTAAACATTTAATTTGGCATCTAATTTACCTTTCAATCATTAATATCATTTTAACAAGTCATCAAACGTTGTTATTTCAAGAGGGGGTTTTATAGTGTTTCATAGGTTTCATCTGAAATTATTTCTTGGTTAATTTACACCATAATTTTTCTTTTTTAACTTAATATGGTTCTCAAAACAAAATTTTATCCAGAGTGACATAAGGAGAATGTGCTGAAAATGGGAAAGCAGATAGAATGGGTTTCAAATATTCAAGTTGGACAGTAATTCTGTTTCAATCTTCAAACAGTGTATAGTCCTCACAATAAGATTCCCTTTTTTGTATGGTGGTGCCATGATAGAATCCCCTGCCTTTAGATTTGTATTAGGGTTAATGTGAATTTTAAGTTATACCTTGACATGAGCTATCAATTTTAGAGGGAAAGGAAGAATAGTATCAGGGTACAAAAGTATCATACCCATTTAGAGGTTTTTATTTCATTCTTTAACCCTTTAAACAGCTGGATGATTTTCACAGATGCCATTGGAAGAGCTAAATATTCAATTCTTTTACGACTTGATCACTCTTTAAAAAACATATATTTGTTGAAAAACTTTAGAACCTATGAACTTAAGAACTGTATGAGATTTTCAATGTGTATGCAAGATAATTCAAGGTGAGTTACTAAAAATCAATATTATAAGGCTAGTGAGCAATTGGAAGGCCTGGGAAACAGGAAAACTGTAACGACCTGAAAAACTAAAGCAGACATCAAAAATTTTCGTGAAAACTGAGTTTAAAAGTATGAGGCATTTCCGTAACCTGATAAAATAATACATTGTTGAACTAAATTCCTGTCGTCAGGTAACAGTGCATGGCTGAGAAAACAAATTCTCAAAATGTCAAACTTCTCAACTCCTTCATAGTGGTTCAACAAAACAGATCGACCCTCACAAATTTTCAGCTGTTCTTTTAATTTAAGCTCTTCCAATGTCATCCTATGTCTAAAGTTTATGTTTATCCATAGCCTCCTCGGACAGGTAAGTTGGAACAGACATATTGCTTCAAGTAAAATGCTTGGTGTGCTAGTTCCTATTCTCTCTTCTTTTTTACCTTTCAAAATGTTGTGTCTTAAAAAAATTCATTGTATCAACTTTTGTAAGGCTCATTGGAAAAGGACTCATTGTGTTTGGCCATCAGAAGGTCGCTCTGTCACCATGTAGGCTAATTATGAATATCCCAATAAAGCCAATAGAACATTGGTAGTTGTACAGGTAAACCTCTGAAAAGTGAATGTCAAAAGCAGAAGAAATAATTTATTCAGCCCAGAAGAGGGACTCTTCTTACAAATAATTGGATTTCTGTCTGGTAATTAAATATTTTAAATGTAGGATGCGCTGTAGTAGAAGAAGCTCGACCTTGTCTTGAGGAGAAATCTTCGGTGGAGCCCCCTGAGTTGTTGGAAAGGAGCAAAAATTAGACCAGATAACACATGGTAGCACTGTTGTGAGTTGTCACCACTCTAGAGTCAAGCTTACACAAGATGAATGGAAAAGCAAAAGTTTTCTTGGAAATTTCCTGAAATTATTCATTTAAATGACCTAAAAGACCTTGATTGGTTCATCCATGCGTACGTGCTAATCCAATAGTTAAGTCTCTTCAGATTATGAGTTATTCAGGGATTGGAAAATTACTTCGTCATTCTATAATCGAAAAATATAAATTCAAGTTTTTCAGTCGGAAATGTTCGCAAACGGAGGTTTACCTGTACTTAATTTATGAGGATCTATTATTTTCCTCCAAGAAGCTCCCTAGACAGACTACTCTATCCTCTAATCTCTGATACCATGATGCCACTGAATCTCTGATATCTGAAAAATTCTTCAACAAAGTGTATGACTCGAAACAGCATACTACAATGCCTAACCATTTTATTTGCACTTTAAGCTATGTTGAGTAATGGTGTAGAGAGTTTTGGATAGCATCAGCTTCTCTTGGAGATTGCTCAAAGACCCCAGTGCATAAAGGAAGTACAAAATTCATGGAGTATCTCAAGTGCAACAATAGCCTGCCTGCTGAGTAGACATAATGAGTCATTGATTAGTGAGTGAAAGAACCCATAAAGCAGTAGATTCCCCAATATCTTTCGCTGCAAGTTTCAGCTCTTCAGCTCAAGGCCAATCAACACTAGTCAGCACATCTTTGCGGCATCCATTACCCGGCTTGACCTTACAAATATGACGTAAAATTGGCTCATCCTAAAATGATCCCATGAGAAATGCCCTTCATTTAAACTTCATTTCAATTGAACTTTTAACTTCGTATTCAGTTAATACGCAATAGGGTCTCAAAATTTGTCCACAGGAATTATTGGCCTGTGTAGATTGGTCTTGCGTTAGCTAATTTTTCCCAGCAGCAGTTTCTTAACTCTTGACATTCTATGTTGACTTCTTCATTGGCTCTTAACAGTAGAGATACAGCATTGTAGTAACTTCTCATAATTCAAAATAAATTTTTCATTTATCTGAAGAATCCTTGAATTGAATCGATCACATTTCTTTGAAAAAATACTATTCCTCTGCTTAAGCTTGATAATCTTGTAATTTGAATTTCGAAGTGTAAAGAACTTTGAAAGCTAAGTAGTTTTCACCTTGGTGGGCATCAAACTCTTTCGTTTTTTGTGAAGGGTCCTTTTGGACTGCACTTTCAGGCATTTTTTGCACCACTGGAAGAGTGGTCCAGCCCTACATGCCCTAATCATACCGTGATCATCATAATCAGCAATGTCATAGCTGCAGAAATATAAATTCCCAAACGGTTTTAATACAAAATAGTCATGGATTCCCACATTATTGAAAAATTGACCCTCAAGTAATCCCCGGAACTCTTCTCTCCCGTAATAGACCCTGTTTCTAAGAGAAAATCAAATGCAGGCTTAAACTCAATAAGCCTAAGAAAATACTGATATTTTGAAAAACTTCTTTCGCCATGCAGAAGTCAACTAAAATAGTCCTCTTTATATGTGCAATCGGTGCCCTACTTTGCACTGAAAGCTAAGAATTTGAAGTACCTACTTAAATAGTACACATGTCCATAGCCAGCCTGGTGCATAAGAGAAACCAGTGCAAATGTTTCAATTCAATTTATGATGAGATAAGTTGACAAAATCACATAAATTTTAGTAATTTTTTCTCTAAATTTGACAACATTACTGCACAAGTAATAACTTAAAGTTTCTCTGCCTCCAAACATTAGCACTGAATAAATAGGAAAGAAACATGTATGTGCCCAATATTAATCGTATTTTCTAAGAATGATGACGTATATCGTTGATCAAGTTGCATCACATATTTTCTTCTTCTCGTTAGTTTTTCCCTGGTCTGACAGAAACTAAAAGCTTACTATTTAAGTAGATCAAATCTTTTTTCATGAAGTTGATAATTCAAATTATTGTTCCTTTGAACAATCAGCTCATTATATGAACTTCAAGAAATGGAAAATCCATTCAACTTTTTCATTGAAGAAAGTAGTAGAGAAACAATTTCAGTGAGTTTAGAGCCTGTAACCTATTTGGAGTTCATAAGAAAGATGCAAGCCTCCTCTATAAGTAAATATCCTTGCAAATGACAAAATGTTTGAATGGAGAAAAAGTTCAAGTTCAAGTACACAACAAGAGCAACAATTTCACACTGCATTTTCAAGTTTCTCAGTCCCAAATTGAGACATATTTTTCCTTTACCAATTTCTGTCTGGTAACAATCGTCTCTTTTAATGCTCACCAGGAGATTGTATTTTAGCCTTGAAATGTTCCGCAAATCAAAATTAATGATTTCTACCTCTATTTTCTTCCTAATTTTTCTATTTCTATCTTTCCTAGCTCGAGAGACAAAATAATCTCATGAAGGAAAGATGTTTTTTAATCGTATTGTTTAGGATATTATGTTTGCCAGGCAATACAGAGAAGGCTTCCAATCCTCAATGTCTATTTGCGACATGTAAGTGCGCAAATCTTTCTTCTGAGCTCATTTTTAAGTGCAGCTCATTCTCAGAAACCTTTTCTTACAAACTTTTTGTCTGTCAAATGAGTCCTATGTTAATACATAACATTTCATCCAAAATTCTAAACCGTATTTTGAGTGAAATTCTCAATGCTCAACGAAGACAATCTCCTGGTTTTCATCTATATTTTATTCAAATTTTTTGTCCAAAAGAAATTAGTGAACACACAGTATATTTATTGCAAAGTAGTTCTTACATTCTTAAGCTGTTCTCTAAGTAGGCATGTTGGCAGACCCAGAGTAATTCTTCCCCTTCCTCTCCCAGAAATCTGACTTGAAATGAGGAAACGCATAAAGAATTCTAGATTTTCACAAAACACCTTACATTTCAATCTCAGACCTTGTGATTACACTGCCATTATCTCTTCTTTTTCATGAGCTCCTCTTTTGTCAAGGGTTCAATTCCACAAAAACAAGATTTGCTTGCTTTAATCCCTGAATTATCAGCTTAATGATTATATTTCATGAACCTAGGGGTCCTCTTTCCTAGTTCTTATATCACTGTCACAATTTCATGAGAAGAAATTTTTGTTAAACCGGGATTGTTATGTTGTGTTTTTTATAGATTATGGTTGTTACGACTATTACGGGTATGGGGATTATCGAGGTGGCTACAATGAACCATATTATGATGAAGGTTACCGTTATGAAGAAGTTTATTACGATTATGCGCCACCTCCACCTCCACCACCCACCCGCGGGAGAGGCAGACAATCACAGCTGGTGGGTGTTGTCCCAGTATTTTGTTTTTATTTATCATTACACAGGCTCACAGTGTGCCCGCTCAAAGTGAATCCACCCGGTCTCTCTAAGGGACTGCTTCTTCAACTGACGTTTTTGACGGATTTATATTCCTTGAAAGGAGTCTGCAAGTTATCCACTGTAGGAATGTCATACGATATTCCTATCAATCAATTTTAGTCAAACAGTTATAAGAAAGTTGCATGAAAGAGCCATAATTTCATAACAGCACAGCTGGGTGCAGTAAGAGGCAATGAGATACAGCAATGTAACTCTACTGAAATTGAAGTGTTACCTCTCAAATTATAATCCTTAGATTTTTTTTCTTTTTTTCTTCAACTAAATTTTTTGTTCGCAATAAGGGAGCATAAACACTGAGTTATTACATGATTATTTCCCTTTAAAATGTTCTAGAAGGAGGAAGAGAAAACGAGGATACATTTCTGTTGATTTTTTTATTCTGCCATTGTTCTTTCAAAAAATGATACCTAAGTCGTAGAGAATTGCCGTATTTTCATTTTTTGACTCATGATGAAACCCTGTGGAAATTGTTTTCCACAATTATTCCAAACCTCAAAGCAGTGTAGCTCTTGAATTTCTCGAAATGCAACTTTGGTTTTTTATTCAAGACTTGGTCACCCTTCCTTCCCTAACCATTGAATTTTAAAGTAATTCTTGTGAAACTGACAGGCATAGGCTCTATCGGAAACACACCTGACTTATTTTTAAATATTCTCGGTTGTTGTCTCATGATACAATCACTGTCACAAAGATTAGTAGTGTTCTTTGTGTTTTCAGAACACAAAAGACTTCAAATTCTCATGGTAAAAGAATAACAGGTATGGACGTAGAATTGACTTGCCTCTGATTGGCTCGCCTGACTCCTACGTCACAGGCCTGTATGGAGGGCTTGTGTACAGGAGCTTTATCAATGTGTTCGTAAGAGATGGCCTGTCTCATTTAGTGTGTGTATGTGAATTCTGTTAGTGTGTTGGTAAGAGGAGATCCGACAGTTAGGTGAAATGAGGACTTTTAATCCATAATGCTTAACTGCAGCTACTACACCCATACCTGTGTTCCTCTACTATGTACGCCAAATTTTGCCATAGCATGGAAGCAACTTGTGATGCTATTTGTTCATGGCAGTATGGGTACTTAGTGTAGCAAGTGAAGTAAGATGCTACCAGAGTCATTACAATGATTCTATGTTAAAAGTTAAACATTAAACATTGGAAATTTTTGTGGTTCTCAGAATGAGCCGAGCGCTTTTATTTCAGTAATGTGGTGGTAAACATAATGAAATATTTAATATGTTCTTGATAGAACATAAAACCAAAATTGACGGATGCAAATCCATAATTTATCTCTCAAATTCTGTATCAAACCAAATGAATTAGTTTTAACCTGCCCTTCAGGAGCACTTCGTGTAAGTTATCATCACAGCACTTGCAAACTTCTCTCCTTTCCCATTTTCTCCTGGCCAGTACAGATTTCTTATTTACAAATGTAATCCTCTTTGACTGAAGGCTTATGAATTAATGAAGAGCAGTCATATATTCTTCACTCTAAACTTTCTTTTCGCTGTTTTTTAAAATTTTTAGGAACTATTTCTTGTCTCTAAAATTACGGAAGAGAGTTACTTTATATATTAGTTTAACTTAGTTTCTCCGTAAGTTACCTGGTGGGTTCACCAAAATTGAGTGGATGCTTTGTAGCCTTTTTAAAATGTCAAGTTTGATAGTGAATACCTCAAGGCTTAAGTGTTCCTCAAATTTGAGTTAATTTTCAATTGCAGGGTTATCCAAAATTTTTTGGGAGGGACGACGGCCCAGTCTACATTGCCATTGACTAACTGCACTGCATTTGCCTAACACAACTATACCAAAATAGAAGAAAATAGCTTCATTATTGATTTTCTCCTGTTCCTGTTTCTCTTTTTATCCATGTTTTATTTTTTCTTCCCTCCCTCTTTATATGATATTTTATCATCATTTTCATGGGAGCAACCGTCTGGGGCCACATTAGTGTCCGTTAATGCAGGAGTTAACTGTTACTGCAGTTACAATGTAACAGTATGCAGTACAAAATTTCTATTCGTTGAACTAATGTTCAGGTCATTTCATCTTGCATCAGCAGTTTTTATCGGTTATCCAGTTGGACTTCATTTTGCATTTTGGAACAACTGTATCTAACTCATCCATAAAAGCACCTATCTACTGATCGAAAATTTTTTGTTTCCTGAATGAGCTAGAAATAGCAGTGCCTTGTTGCATAATGTACTCCAGAGATACCCTTGATTGACTTGCTGTTTGCCCCCAGTCAATTTTTTTTCTCTTTTTAATCAATTGACCTTCGTTGTAGTTCAGAATGCACAGATGTTATGCAGATTTATGTCAATAAGCTGTCATAATTAAGTCTTCCCCTGTTTCAAATTATATGAAATTGATTTGGAGTTACGGCAAATATCACGAAGGTTTACTTTGTCCTCAGTTTTCCTGGTTCCGAACATTACTTATGTTTCTTACTCTCAGTTGTAATTATAGAGATCGGTCACCTCGGAGTTTTTCAGCTGCAATTCCGGGTTAAAAATATTTCAGAGGAAATATTATTGATAAATTCAATAGGATTAAACTGCAGTTGCCACTTTTGTTATTGTTTTTGTTTTAGTTCTTTCTCCCAATTTTAAATGCTCCCAATTCTTTTGTTTGGTTTTCATCATTTCAATATGTCCAGGTTTTTATTTTTCCTTGTGTGTTTTATAGCGCTCCTCCCCTGTTTTTGTTTTGTTTTGACTCTTTCGTTTTCTCCTGGCTTTTTTTTCCTTTTGATAATTTATGCGCTCATTTTCTTTCATCCAATCTTTTTCATGACCTATGCTTCATTGCAGCGCTTTTAGTCTGCTTTTAACGCATTGAGTCTCCAAGCTTGGGATATCCGTACTTTACTAATACCTCTCTGCGTTGCTTTGCTCGACTTTTGGATAACCCTGCTGTGTGCAAAGTATTACTAAAAAGGTTGATGCTAATACTAAGTAATAATAATGCTAGGATCATTCCGCCTAAATGGGTGATAATTCATGTGAGCTATTGAAACCCTCAGTGAGTATTTCACTTATTAAAGTTAGTACCACACATTTCACCCCTGCCATGAGCTGACGGTGAGCTGGAACAACTTTGTTAAGTGGAGAGTCCATATTGCCCTTAAAGAAAATATCCATCTTGTAAAAATGAAAATACATTCCTTGCTAGTTTGTTCGAGAATCTCATAGTTGGAATCCTTTCAGAATTGACTAAAGCTCATGAGTCCATGTTCAGTCGCTCAATTAACTTGTCAAGCCATGTTCATGCTCCAATTCTTGAATTGAAGTCAATTTCTACCTTCCTCAGGCAGAGGTAATATAGGGACTTAAAATAATTCGCCTATTTGTTTAGATAATATTGCATTTTTTGTACTTCATCACATCTTTATGAGTCTGCAATTTTTGGTCTAAAACTAGATCAATCATCCTTTAAGCACTCAATACTTTTGTCATGTTTCAATTAGCTTTGCTACTTCATCTAACCAGTCTCAAATCGGTAAAAATCATCCATCTTATTTGCCAAAACTTCATGTTTTCAGGGAAAGTCTCAATAAATATGTTGTTCCTCCCCATTTCGCAAACTTAGAAAAGTCTATACCTTCTCTCTTTCCCTTTTCTTGTTCTACAGGCAGCTCAAGGTCCACCCCGAATAAAAGCTGCAGATCTAGATCTGTCAAAGTAATTGTATGTAAATCTGCCCAATTTTACTCAGGCAGATGTAGATCTGGCAATATTTTTGGGCAGAAGCACAAGTTGAGCCATAACGTTTTGCTACTTCTGCGTTTTTGAAGTGTTTAATGAAAATGCAGTAAACAATGTATGAAAACTAGTCAAAAAAGATTGAATTACAGAAAATTATGGTCTTTTACACAAAGCCTACCTTCCCTGACACCCTCTCCCTCTCCCCTTAAATGAATGTAAGCTCGCCCCAAACCTAATTGCCCAAATTGTAGCTATCTTAAAACTTTTAGCTCTTTTGAAATGGTGGACTTAGAGGGGAACTCAACCTCTAAAACTGCCTCTTTTTGGTATTTCGGCGCCCCAAATTCCTGAAGAATCATTTATTTTTACTCCTGTTCTGCCCTCAATTTCCCCTCATACGGAATCATGTGGATCGAAACCCAGAAATTCAAATATTCATCGTCGTCCTTTTCATGCTCAAGCTTATAATTCAGATCACATCATTTTCAGTGGGGTTTAGGGTTTTCATCAGATTTTGCCTCCTTTGAAATTTGTTGATTAATAGTCCCAGTGGACTCAATTAAATCTGAAAACCCATCATGAGACAAACCTGGTGCCAAAGATGAATGTCAGACTGATTGAAACATGACAAGTGTGTTATTTTGATGAAGTGAGTAAAACTGAAACAAGGGAGCTGCGTTCTAGTCAATGCTCCACAACTTGAGACCCAGACTAGCTGTATTTGAAGGGAAAATGTGATAAATTTTCATTGTAATTTTGCAATGAGATCCAAGCTTGTATGCAAGTGCAATGAGTGGACGGTCAACTGATAATGATTAACTGCGGCTTTAATAGGCTGGCCGTGGGCGTGGAGCGGCAGCACGTGGCCGAACCGGTGGGCCAACGGCGCGTGGCGCACAGCGGGGACGAGCGGCAACATCCGGGGGCCGTGGGGGACCTCGACTTCCCGTACGTGGGGGTTCCCGCCACGCCAAAGCAAATTCTCCAGGTAACGGGATTTCGCCATAACTAAGCTTTACTTTCTCTGCATGTCGTCTGCAGCCTTGGATTTAGGGCACTCGTCCTGGAGCTCCTGCATGAGATCCTAGATTCCTCGAGATAGCATTCTTGCATTGTGGCCAGTTAAAACCTCATGGGGAGCAGTGTTAAGTAGATGATTTAGCCTCCTAAGTCCCCACAGTAAGACGTCTTCCCCTTTACTTCAGTAGTGCTTGAGACCCGCTGGCAAATCCACTCTTCATTTCCAGTCCTGATTTGAGTCACCAGAGCGCTACACTCACACCATTGAATGACCTATAGGGGAGCTCTAGTGAAAAATTTATGCTGCAAAAGAGAGATTGATTTTTTGCGTTTGACGGTGCGAAAAGTGAAAGTGTGAAAGGTTAAAATGGACTCGGGACTGCAGCGCTATAGCAATTGTGAAATCTGCGAGTCTTAGGAGGATAAGTCGTTGCCTGATATTTTATTTATTTTAATTTGACTCATGAGCAAGAAAGTTTAAGTTTCATCCTACCCTACTCAATATTATTTCAACATACAAAGGCTGTCCTATGAAAACTAAGAATTGGCCTTTTCTGAGTAAACTATGTCAAATATATTGAAATACTGTTTCTAGGAACTTGGAGCATATTTCATTATCTTTCTAACAAGCTCATTAGATGAAAAATACACATTTCTACAATCGTTTTTCAGCGAAGTAAAAAAGAAATGCGCAGAAATGTTGAAGCCATTCTTTCAGTCCCTACCACTTCTCTGTGTGGACACACTCCCAATCAAGAGTGCAACCCTTAAGATGTTAGATACGACTGACTTGCTTAAGCTCTAATAAAAACTGACATTGTTCTTCCAATAAAAACTAAATTCTGACCAAAACTAAAAAAAAAAAAAACCACTAAATTCCACTAAAAGCTATAATAAAAATTGTCAAGAAGTTAATGGCCCAGGCAAATTTTCTGATCTCAAAGATGCTGATGAGCTGACTTTCTAAGCCTCATTGAAGTCCTCAGGCTACCTATAAATGGTGCTTCCACTACCTAATCGATATTATTGATCTGAGACTATCATCTCTTTTAACAGCTCAGAGGCAGGTATATCATGACTGATGAAGGTAGGGTAAAACAGTGATACCTGCAGTTGTCAGAATTTCTCAGGGAAACTCACTGCAGAAAACACTCATCCTCAGACATGCGCCTTTGTTGACTTGGAACGCAATCGCTGTTATACGGAGCGTTTGTCCGCACAAGCTTAGACAGTTTTCATAATAACCTCACTATAAAAGTCGCACCATCCAGCCGAAAGGTTACTACGTAATTCCTGGTGTTGCTATGTCCTCACAGAGTAGAGTTGGAAAGTGAAAATGACCTCACAATTTTGGAGGAGTTTTTTTTTACGTTGCCAATAAAAACGCTGTAGAAGTGTGAATTTCATGAAAGGCTTTTGAAATAAACTATGTACAATTTTTTGTGAACCTTAATTCAATATCTTCAAAAAGTTGCTCAGAACAGGCCAATCTTCAACTTTTCTCGGGCAGCCTGTGTATTTTTTCTCTTCTGCTGAAAGCCCGTGGTAATGGTTTTTTTTTCCCCCTTTAATTTTATATTGTTGAAGTACAAGTGTTTTGAATTTCATTATAATTTCTAAAAATAAGTATGAATTCAGTCTCCACCTACACAAGAAATTTTGCTCTTGCAAATATTTGGATAGAGCAAGTACGAACTTCTTCAGCTCCCACGCTCTTGTCTTCTACATTGAGGATCGTACTGTCCAATAAAGTAAAAGAAAAATTAATGAAGCAAAAAAGTAAGAAAGGGTTGTGAAACTCAAAACGATAATGCCCCATTTAATTTATGATTTAATACTGACCTCTAAATTCTGATCCATGATGTCATGATCATCCCTTCCCTATGTGAAAAGGAGCATCTCTTTGGCTCTTTCAAAAATTAATGTAATTAGCGATCAGGTGAGTTAGTCTTTAAGTCTTCAGCTATTGTGAGATATGGACTATACTTCGCAATGAGGAACTGCTGTCTGTCTGGCTCATCCATAGAAGCACCTATCTGCTCAGGGAAACTACTGCTGCAAATGATGTTTCTGTAATGAGCCAGAAATATCAGTTTCTCATCACCAAATATAGTCAAAAAAGGAACCAAAATTTAGAATTAGAGATGTAAAAAAAACTCGAGTATGTTTTAGTACAAAACCAAAGGAGAAGACTGTTCAGCCGAGATATGTGCATTGAAAATACTCGGCTGGGGTCCCACCGATAGACTGGTACAGGATTCCTTCTTTTTTAGACTTTTTTTCTTCCTTTTTACTCGGGAGTTGTTCAGTAGCGACGGCAGATGGCAAAAATAAAAATTTGCTTTTTATAACAGTACGGGCCATGCTTTACTATCATCATTATTAATTACGGAAGGACAGAGAGAATTTTTAACTTTGAACATATATTTCTCCTAATAAGTGTTTTGTGCATGAGCTGTTTTAAGCCGCCTCTTGCGTTGAGCAAGGGAAAAATATACTAACAATAATAGGTAAACCAACCCCTTCCCTTCGAAGAGTGGAAATATTGTAGCAGGATCAAGGCATTACAACTTCTTCAGTTAGCAGTTTAGAGTAGGTAGCTCGCCTTTGGTTCATTGTTTTAACTTGTAGTAGCAATGATTCGTTCTAATTTTTTTTTCTCCTTCTCTCCCTAAGCTTTTCAAAAAACGTATTGCTTTTTATAGAAAAAGAAAAGATGGTGGTTGCTATCCCTGCTTCGTTTGCACTTTGATGGATGTGGTCAATATTATGTCAGTGTTGCAAAATCCAAATTATTAAGTATAGTAAACGGCTCATGATGTTTTGGCGCAATTGAGCAAAAAATACAATTTTATTAACTCATTGAAGGATGACTTTTTTCCATTAACCCCACATCATTTTCCTAAAAATGAATGATAAAAATGTCCATGCCTCGTCACTTCATTGACCTCTCCTCAAGGTTGTGGCAATGTAACCATGTTTTCTTTCTTCATGTTGTTGTCTAGTTGCGTTACCCCACTTTAGCCTACCTTTTTTCCACCTCAGTCTGTAACCTCATCGGCCATAGATCATGCTCTTGTATTAGTCCATTAATATGCAACTTTTGTTTTGTTGTCACCTCCTGAGTCTCGCGGACTTGCTCTTATGTGTAATATGCGCTTTATTATATAGCGACAAATTTTCATTTCTTATTCTGCCTCTTATCAGGTAGCTTTCCAGCTTTTTTCTTGTATTTGAAATTGCTAGCTTAATGAAAGCTATATCTTCGCAAGTACAAACTTTAATTAATTTAAATTTATTTATCATCAGAATGGCTACTTCCTCCTCAATTCATGTGAAGGAATCTCTTTCTCTCTCCAAATCATGCTAATTTTTATGCTTCATCGTTATCCCCAAAAAATGTTGTAAGTTTTGTTTTATCGTTCTTTTTCTTCTGAAAGGAAGACACAAAAGTTGAAATTTTGATACTTCAGAAGAGAAACTTGTTTTCTACGTTTTACTTTGGTTAAAAATTATTTAATTAGAATAGAGAGGATATGATTTTTTTATTTTCTCAGATCTTCGAATTTTGAATATTCAAATATTGTTTTATTATCCCCTCGTGTCTTGTAGAATTGAACAATTCTCCAACATCAATAGTCAAGTGTACAGATTTCTCTTACTACTTCCTAAGCTATCAGAGCCCAACCTCTAGTCATTTCATTTCTGCGATTCCCTGGATCTAAATCTTAGAATAGCATCACCTAGATTTTGGGCATGTACTAGCCCTACCCAGGCAAGACTGGCTACTAATTTGGCCAGAGCTTGGACGTATATTCTCTAAATTTAGGTGATACCATTTTACCTCCCTCTCTGGGCATAAGCACCACTCTGTTTTTCCGTGTATTCTTAATTGAGTACCTTAAGAAAAAACAGCAATGCGTTATTGAGAAAATCTTTGAAAAGTATGTATCGCTGCTGAATATAGAGATAGTTTTTAGTGCTCTCATTAATTTTATTAACATTGATGATTGTTATGAAAGTATGACCAAATGTAGTTCCTGGTCTGATAATTTGAGATAGTACACTTTTGATTAGGTCAGAGTTTCTACTGCCAGGATAACTCTCCAGGGAATTGAATTTATCAGGGGAGACCCAGGGAATTCAACGTCAACTCTAAAATGTATACTTTTGAATAATAAGCTGCTCTCGTTCTTTTGCTTGTAATCAATCTCATAATTAAATGGTGTAGCAACGCTCTCTGGCAGAGTGTGCTTAAAGCTCTTTTACGCTAGCGTGTCTTCTCATGTAAAGTGTTTTAATACCTACATGCTGAAATTGGAAGAAATCAGGAAATATGGTATCAACTGGGAGAATATTAATTAAACATCAGGGAAATCTGGCATGAAAGTAAGGAACTCATGGCCCTTCATGCAGTTAATCCCATGAAGCGTGCACTCTCGTAGACACCAGCGATCTTTGTCAAAGCAGCAAGCAGTGTAAGGCTATTTTGTGCATTCTGCCACTAAGTGTGAAATCGCAAAAACTGACAGGTTTACCTAATTTGATATGTTCGCTATGTTCTTTTTTGTATTAAGTGTCCTTGGTGTGCTTGCTGAGTTTGTTGTGTGTTCACTAAGTTTGGTGTATTTGTCATGTTTGTTATGTTTGATGTCTCGGATGTATTCATCCTTCATATGTCTGTTTTAGCTAAGAACATTTCAACCTAATCATTCAACAACAAACATTTAATCTATGCCATTTTCACGACAAGTAAGACCCTTTCATGTACCCCAAACAAGAGGTCTCTCACAGTGCTTTTTTTTTTTATTATTAAAGCTCTCAGTGTCTTCACTGACTGTTCACAAACTAATCTCATTTTTCTTGTCCATATAAATATATGTACACTCGTTGTCTAGCCTGACTAACTAAGGTGCAAATGTTCTTTGGAGTGTAATTCACTGGCCTTAGTCCCTCAATTCTCATCTAATTTTCACGAAAGACCTGTTAAGTGAGCGAAATCTTTTCTTTTAAAATGTATTTTTTTTTTCAGGATTCAAGGACTATCTCTTCCTTAAATTTAATTCTGTTATTTCAAGAAGAGGTCATCTCCGAAATTCGGACTAATTGAATTTTCCACGGAGACCTACACTTAACAGATAGGCGAATCAGCCCCTAAATGCTCACAACTGGTTTTGCTGTGGAACATTTTTTTTAGGGGGCCTTATCTCCCTGTAATTTCGGCAAAGGACCATCTCTGTTTGCATGGCCCCTTTTCGAAGTAACAGGCAACACTGAAAGACCAAAAGTATTGTTAGAATAGAAAAATATGTCTCTCCCTCTTGACTTGCAAGCTCCTTGGCTTCTTTAATTTGCTTGTCATTCACAGTCAAAGAGGAAAGTTTCAGCCCCCCAAAGCAGCCAATAATGTTACTGCCTTCGCTTTTTGACTCATAACATGCTTTGTCACTCAATACCATTTGTTTTATCCCAGTAACACTGAGATAACGTTTGTCTGGAAAGATTCTGAACAATTGAGAAATCTTAATTTTCAAGCAAACATTCCAGGACTAAGCATAAAAAAATCAGTCATTTTGAAAGTGAGTCGTATCCATCTTAATATATTTTCCCTCTCTTCAGCTCTAGTAATCCAAAAAATGTCTAGTTTAACTCCGACTTTACAAATGGCCATCGTACATAATTTATTAAGCCCTCAGTCTCAATAGTTAACCAACCCCTCGCTTTTTGAACGATTCTTTTGTTTCTGATCAATTTAAATAAGTGGAGATGGCCCTGTTTCAAAGCCATTGATTCACTTATCTGTAGATGGAGGTCATATCTACATTATTAAAACAATTTCCAACGACACCGATTCAAACAGTTGTTGGTTTAGTTTTATCATCATGAATTTTAGAATCATAAGCTCAGTTTCCAGCCTTTTTCAAGTACAAATTGTAAGATGGTCTGGATCACCATGCCTATTATTGTTGAGAAGCTTTTAAGTTATCTCATTCGGGTAGATATCTTTAAAGTGTTAAATTCTATCGGTTTTTTTATTTTTGGAGTATAATCCAATTGTTTGTCCGGTGTCAGATATTAATTTTTATTTCTTATTATTTCAGCAGGTAAGCGCAAATATGACGGTGGGAACCAGAACTCGGGGGAAACAAAACGGAGGTACCAGAGTAGCTGGGGGAGTCAGCCGCTGGCCCAGCAACCGTTGAACTGTACCACTGGTTATGGGAGCATGAGCAATGGAGGTGGTGGAGGCTACGGTAGCAATGTTGATCATCATCAATGGTATCAAGACTCATACCAATGAAACATCCATCTTCCATCTCATCGACACTCGCCACTAGTTAACTACATAAACTAATCGTGGTTTTTTTCCTTTTTTAATTTATTTTAAATTGAATTATATTTGTTCAAAAATTTGTTGAAAAAATTATTGATGTTTTAATTTTGTTAAAAAAATAAATAAAGAAAAAAAGAATAGAAATTATTTTTGAGATCGACGAATCCACAAATATTTATTATAAATTTAGTTTTGAACTATTTGCTAAGTCCGTACGGATGAAAAAATTTTAGCCTATATTTACTCTCCCAAATCTTGTTCATTCAAAATGAAGTAAAATCTTTTTATTTGTTTATTTATTTTTTATTATTTTCGGTGACTCATGATCCTCCCCTGCTCTGAAGGCAGCACTGCATATATTTATAGGGGGTTGACCTTAGGCAAATGTTCATGTCAGATCGCTTATGTTAAACAAGTGTCATTTTGTATTATTTTTGTATGTTGAAACTGTTTGGTTATTGGCTTAATTTCGTTGGTTTCTTGTTATGTTTGAGACCATTACAACCTTTGTTTATCTTTAAATTTTTCTCTTTATTTATTTTTTTTTATCTTGTAACATAATGGAGGAAAAAATGTTTCATAACTATGTGACGACCAAGTTAGTGTTTGACGCTCTGTGTAACATTCAAATTACATTGATGTGTCATCTTCAAAAAATGTTACTTTTGAGACTAATGTCTCTAAATGCTATCTAATAGGACTGCTGAATGTGATTTTGAATGTTTACATGTATACTCTACATGTCATTTGTTACATTTATGTTTTAAGTTATATTTTTGTTTGCAATTATTTTATTATAATTTTTTGAGCTTTTCAAAAAGCTCACAATTTTTTCTTTTAATTTATTGATATATAGAATTTTGAATGGAAGAAGTTCCGCCCCCCTCCCCCTCCATTTAATCCAAAAACCTAGAAAAAAAATGTTCAAAGTGTATTTAGAAAAGAAAAATAAGAAAATAAATTAAAAAAAATAAAAAAATGAAAAAAAAATAAGAATTATAAATGCATACTTTTTATACAAAAAGTTTGTTTTGCTTGTTGCTTTTTATTTCCTGCTTTATACAAATTCTCAGCATTAATTTTAGTGTGACTTAGTTTTACGACTGAAACAGAACTTATTGATCTATAAATTTGAACCACGTAGTAATGTTTCTTGAGTAACTTAAGCATTTATTATTACTCGATCAATATAATTAATTTAATTATGCAATCAGCCTGATGTATGAATTTTATCTCAATAATAAACAGTTATATTATGTGAAAAGTCTTTCTTTTGCTTTAGTTTACTTAATTTGTATGCTCCTTTTTGACTAAACTATTAATTTTTAGTGGATACATGTGTAACAGCCACAAGATTTTCCCTTGATATTTTCTATGTACCTCAAAATAAAAAGAGTGTGTTAAATGGGGAATGACATTCAATTAGGAAGTGAAGGATGCAGGACATTGTGCGAGTTCAAAATTATGTGGACACTAATCTAAAAATACAAACATTTTTCTTATTTACCATTTATTCAGACTTACTCTAATCACATTTAATCGCAAGGGGCATTGTTTTTTAGTCTTTTTTCCTTCCAGTTGCATCTTCATCAGAGTCATCAGCAAGTTTTTAACTTCCTTATATTATAGAAGGACAAACATATATACAGTTAACTTCCTCTAAGTCAAACTTGCATAGGGACCAGATTGTTAGTTCCATTTAGGGAGAAATTCCACTCAGAGGACTTTTTGTTCTGATGAAAAATTTGATGAGACCTTAAAGAAATTTGACTCTGAGGAAATTACCAGCACTAGAGCATTTGATTCAAAAGAAGTCAACTATAGGTACATATAGCCTTAAGTATTATATACTGTGCAAAGGGAACCAAAACTTCTGGGTTTGAGGTGCTATCTCGCTAAAAACTGATGAAGGAATGTCCAGTTGCATCCCATTTTAATCAGACACCTTAGAATTATGACAGATTCAAACTTTAGCATCTCTTGTTGAAATATCATTTTCAGAACTGAACCGTCTTCCGAAAAGATAATTCAACAGTAAATTGTTGACCCCTGACTGCATCATCTTTGCCGAAATATTAATCGGTTGGTATTGTTTCCTGGGCAAGAATATTCAAAATTGAGACCTTTTAAAAAAATCAGAAATTGAGTTTATGGAAGAATATCACTTATCCCAGTCCTAGAATCACTTGTCATTTTTCGGGAAGAAACGAATTGAAAATTGAAAATTAATGGAGAATTTGCCGAACTCAATTGTATTGCTTCATCTGAGAGTGCCTCACGAGCCAGGTTCGCAGTATTTTTTTAAAAACATTTTCTGAAATGGGCAATCGTAGGAAAAAAGATTTAAAAGTGAAAAAATGTACCACCTCATGACGTCATCAGGCAGCATCTCCCATTTAAACACATGTATTTTAGCGGATTAGGTTATTTGGTCCTGTACCCTCAGAAATCGTTCAATTTTGAAATTAAGAATATTCTGGTACTTAGTTCAGTCAGTAGTTTCCATTTAAACATGAAATTGATCAAATTTCAGCAAATTTTCCATTGGGTTTTTTTTCAATCACCAAGTAATTTTATTTTGAATTTTGCATTGATCCATTTAACTAATACAGTAATAGTCCACAATACAAACATTCAACCATATGTAAATTTTGGTGGTGAAATACATTGCGCAATACAAAAATTGTGAAATTACCTTTTCCTGCGTTTTTTGTGTGGTGCTGTTGTCTGATTGTTGCACAAGCAACTGATTTGTTTTCCCCGCATCTGTATAGGTACGGGAAAATAAAAGCATGAAAAGGAGAAACAAATTGAAATAACTTCTTTTCAAGGCACTGTCGCAGGTTAATTTGTCAGAATGAAATGATGAGAAACTCTAACAATGAACAAAAATTATAAAACGATGAACTGTGACAATAAATTTAAAAGATGTAGTGGGAAAATAATACTCTAAAAAGGAGTGAAAGAAAGTTGCAAAGGAGGAACCAGGGAAACTCACGAGATATAACTAATAAAAGGTATAAGAAACTTAATCCTAGAAAAACTGTTCTGTTGAGTTAATTTCTTAGAAGGACCACCTATTGCACTATAATTTTACCAAGTCAAAGAAACTGGAAAATTCTGAATTATTGGAAACCATGGATTCATCTACAAATTGCATCACAAGATTTGTTATGTGGATCATCCCTCCTCAGATAGACCTTCTGCATATACTATGACTATAATTTTTCTTTATGACAGGCGATTCATGAATTTTAAAAAATGAACAAAAAGTGAGAGGAAAAACTGCCAATAATAATATTTCTTAAACGCACCATTGCTTGGCAATAGAAAAGTCGTGCAACAAAGAGAGAAAATACCAAGTTGATGAGCCTTCGTGAGCTGAGATGTTTCGATTCCGATTTTTCCTCGATTTTCTTAGTTCTTTCACCAGCTTTTATTTCGTATCTGTAGTTTTATTCTCTTATCCTCTTTTGATGAGGGGACAGATGATTGATAAACCAAAATAAAAAATGAGAGGGAAGAATACTGAAGCAAGACTTCTCTCAGCCCTAAACCCCCCCCCCCCCCNCCTTCTTCATTAAATCTGTTACCTACACAAGCTTTAATCGCCTCTCTTTTTAGAGGCTAATGCAATTGAGGCTTGGATGACAAGGCGCACAAGTGAAGCTTTTGACAAAATAGAGGTATTAATGCTTTCAACTAAATCTAGTTTCAAGATATATTCCGAGGAACATCTTTACCACTCAAATGCAATTCTTAAGCATCAAAAAGTGAGTTTGAACTCTCCTTCCGCTGTAAGGCTCAATGCAATTTCGAAACCTCAAACATGTATTCATTGAAATAGCAAAAACTGTCGACTGTCCATATGCCTCTCGTTTTTCAAGCTCCTCAATTTTTAGATGACCATTCACTAACCAACTTGTTAATTAATTAAGCGGAGGGCTAAGGCTCGCCCGCTGAATCATACTTCCCGCCTTTTTTCTGCCAAATTTCCATTGGCCAGCCAGTCACCAGATAATTGTTATGGTCATCATTCATCAATATTGACGTTTTATGTTGTAAAGTCGGGTGCCCTATTATCAGTGATTAGTGATTTCATAACATAACCTCAAAGCATTTTTTGTTCCCGTGATGTGATGTTGATCTTCGGGTGGATGGCGCGTGTAGTGTTATAAGTGTTGATTTTTTTCGCGGATTATTCAAGTGTCTATGGTTTAGATCGATATTTCACTCAACAGCCATGAGTTGGCGAGATGATATTGTTGCTAAAATACAAAATAGGAACCGAGAGCAAGTCTCTAGTTTCGAGGAACTGATAGTCACACGTGAGTTAAAGCTTTGTTTTGAATGAATTAACGCCTCAACAACGTAATTTAAGAAAGAAAAATTTGGGTGATTGGTAATGGCCCCTATTTTGTTGTATCCATCAGGCTTTCCGTCGTTTTGCGTGAGAGACTTGAAACTTTCCAACCCATTGCTTGTATAGATATCTTGAACTTTCCGTTAGAACGTAGAGAATACATCCCTTCATTTACCGTGTCATTTTCCATCAGCTCTCATCGGCAGTTTTCCGAAAGGCATGCTTACATAGTTTTGATAAGACACTTTTGCACTTCACCTTGTCTTACTACAGTGCCCAGTTCATTCAATCGAATCTCTGACGGTACATTGTTCATGGCTGTTCTATTTTTTAATTTTTCACCTGAAACCAAAATTGCAAATGCAAACATCACCCTCAAAAATTTTTTTTGATTATGACGTAAGATACTTTGAAGAATGGCATGATGCCGTACTGTGAAGAGCGAATCAGCAATACTGCTAATATCAGAATGTTTTCAACAATGCTGTCAGTTCAATTTGCCGGGAGGAAGGTTCCTCTCTCTATTCTACAGTGGAATTGAGGCCAATATTATTTGTCAGTTCCCCTTATAATAAAACAGACTGCGTGATCCTTTGATCCTTCGGCCATCAAAATGGTTTATCATTTTGAAATGATGGACTTGATAATATGTTAGAGATAGTGTCAATCTGTCAAGTTCTTCTGAGATGATGGACTAGATTCTGGCGAGAGAGCTACAAAATTTCAATAAACTATTCCATGGACATTTGATTCATTAGTGTGCTGGGTTTGAATAGGGCAGGCAGGCATTCTTTTTTCAATGCTCTATTATGAATTACTCATAAAAACCTCTTGAGAAATCTGAAAAGTTTGGGGGGAAACTCCTCTTTAAGATATGGTTCAAACCTGCACAAAAGGAAACCCCTTGTGGTCTTTTTCAAGTAAAATTGATGAAGTGTAAAATTTGAGCAAAATTAATTGTGAAAAGCCCTGTAAAGTCTTTCATAGACGCTTTTATTTCTATTTTACCAGATGCACATTTTACCTTAAAAAAGTTCCAAAAAAGGGTTTCCTTCTTTATGAATTTTGAGTAATAGCTTTAAGAGTCTCTGAAAAGTATTTTTCATTAGTCTCTGCCACTTGGGTGCCTATATTAGATTGATCATGTGTTTTTGTTCTTACGCAGAAAATAAAAATGTTGTGCTTTGATTTTAGATAATCGCCTTTTTGAGAATTTCCTGGCCCTGAAAAGTGAAAATGTTCAATTATCAGTTTTGAATGAAAAACTGCGTGTTGGTAGCTTTGAACAATCAAAAGCCGGATCATCTGGAGGTGGAGATGCTGCATTCACAGAAAGAATTCTTACTCTCGAACAGAAACTTCTAAGCCAGCAGGAGGAGCTCACCGAGTTGCACAAACGGCGTGGTGAAAATGCTCAAATGCTGGTGGATCTGAATGCCACTCTTCAAGAAAAAGAAAAACTACTTGCTTCGAAGGACGAAAGGTATTGAAAACTTAAGTTTCGTACTAAATTCATGCTTCAAGTCTGGAGACTCACATTGTTTGGCAACTTATCTATTGAGATATAGCATTAATGCATCCTAAGTTACAAAATGTCAAATTTGTTTACCTTTTTGTTTATAAGTGATTAGGAGGGCTCACCTTACAAGCAGGTAATGAAGATACACCAAGTAATTCTTCCTTATAAATACCTGGCTGTAGATGGAATTCCCCAAAAAATTATGTGCTGGTGTGAAAGGAAATGACTTAATCTGTCTTCAGCTGTTGTAGAACAACCATTCAAATCAATACAGTTTATCATCTTAGAAATTTTTTGAAGTTGAATATAATTTGTGACTCACAGAGTGGCATGCATTTTCCATTGTGTTCAATTAAGTTGTCTTTTTTCCGTTCCAAAAAATGAAATTGGAAACAACACAATTCTTGAGATGCATGATTTTTGAGTTTAAGTTCAAGTGTCTCTGAAGGTCTCCGGAAAGTGCCTAAGGGCTCATAGTAACATAGTTAGCAAGGGGAATCTTATGAGGTCTGTAAAAGAGGTCTAGTCTGTGCAGGGTGACCCGTCTTGCAAGCTCTGGGGGCAAGAATATTTAGCATACAAAATTCTGTTTTTAAAAGTTTGGAAAAAGAAACTCTGATCTGATTTCTATGTATCTAAGTTCATATAACGTTACGGTATAGTTTGCAGGAGGATTTATTGGTCCAACTGATATGAGCCATCATCTTCATCAAGACAGAGGAAGAAGTATGTAAGGCAGATTTTTAACAAAATTGAAACTAATTCTCAGTTTGCATAGTGTTCATACTGTCTTTGAATAAATGAAAATTTTGTATTTCCAGTTTGCTGCAAAATGACAAGACTATAGCAAGTTTGCGAGCAGAAATTGAAATGTACAAAAAAAGCCGTAAAGAGCTTGAAGACATGAATCAAGTTTTGAAGGATGAATATCAAGCCTTACACCTAGCTTTTACTCATCTTGAAGAAAAACTACGTAAAGTACAGGTAAACCTCTATTCTCCAGCAAACCACAGTCTTGCCAAGGAGCTGAAATGATTTTCAGCCACTGCCCTCCCCCACCCTTGCACCAACGAATAAAACATTATTCATCGGTACAACACTAGTGATTGAAACGTTATTTGGTGGTATTATCTTGGTATTATCTTTTTTTTTTTTTTTCACAAGTTAGCTGCTGACAGGGCACAGAAGAAAAGGTCTGAATGAATGAAAGCAAATTACAGCCTTCAGGCATTATTTCTCAAAAAAGGACTCTTATTTGCTTCATCCTTGGTCTATCTTCTTTTTTTTGTATGTTCAATAGTTCACAACAATTTTAAACAAAATTTACCATAGACTCAGTTTCTGATAAGTGATAAGAGTAAGACTTTTTTTACCAGGTCATCAATGATTTGTCTCTCACTAAGAAGTTAGTTGTAGATGTAGATGTCATATATTTTTTGTTTTGTTTTACGGAATTTTAGATCTAGCATTCATTACAATTTTTAACATTAAAAGGCTTACAAGCATCAAACCTCAATTGACCCTAATTTAAATCATTATATGGAACTTCAATTTGTTGAAATACTTTTTATGTAGCTTCTTATGGTTTCCTACCAGGATGAAAACAGAGAAATGGTGGAGAGGCTTATGAAGTACAAAACTAAAGATGCTGAAAAAATGAACGAGGAAAATGAAAACTTCATCAGGTAATAATGAATTTTCATTCTTTTAATAGTCACCTCGTAATGACGGTATCAATGTAACTAAGTGACTTTTCATTCATTTAATATTAGTACAGTAAAAGCCTTCTAACTTTATTTTGATTTTTTCACCATCCTTTTTTTACACTTGAAAGAACTCTGTAGTATTTTGAGGAATGACAACATAATACCGTATACATCTCTGAATTCACCTAAATTTTTTGTAGGCAAGAACGGAATTTTTCTAGAAAATATGCAGAAAAGTCAACAATGCATTTTGTTGGGGTATGCATGCATGGACATATAAGGTAATTTAGGTTTTGGTAATCTAAGTGGACACAGAGGAAAACTACAATTTTCAAAATGCTATGAGGTGGTCTGCTATTAGTATTAATGGTTCTCATGCAATATGACAGTTTTTCTTGAGGTAGAAATATAAACTGACTCACATACTCTTTACTTAAAACAAAAATCCGACTCTAGTTGCCTCATTATAAAAACAAATTAATGATCAAAGTTTGAGAATAGAAATTTATGAAATTCCAATTGCAGCCAATCAGATAGTTATTCCCATCCTTCATCAAAACTGCAAAAATACATTCCAAACTTAATGTAAATTTTGAAATTCAAGTACATGTTGTTTTCTGTTCCCCATGAATGACAGTGTCACTATGTAGTGGTTTTTTTCCTCATGTTCAAATTTTTATTGAATCTCCTTTGTTGAAGTTAAGTTTACCTTTTTCTCAGAAAAAAACAAATCAAACTCCAAAAAGAACTAGAAGATGCTGCAAAAGATACTCTAGGGTTTACACCTGATAATCTCTTCAAAGATATGCTGCCACCTCCTATTCAAGCAGTCGCTGGTGTACCCACCAAACCGTCCATTGTGTTCGTAAGTATTTTTTCTTCTCTCTTTAATTCTGCAGTGGTTGTCAATAGTTGCAACGCAAAAGTTATTTGTAATTTTTTTTTTCTTTTGTAATCCCTCAGTGGCTGTTAAGGATCTTAATTTGGTCAAAAACACTTGCTAATCTTCAAGAATTCTGTCATGAAGTAATAAAGCACTGTTATATGTAATGACATTTTTCCTAATTTAAATCTAACTGCATGCTTTTTTACAAGAATAACTGCAGTTATCATTTAGTAACAATTTATTACTTAAAATCCATTTATAAATTTTAATCGCAAAAAGTCAGGGACGCAGAAAATGCTCAATGGGCTGGTAGCGGGAGAATTATGAAGGCACCTGAAAAGAAGGAAAAATTTGAATGCAGAAGGGAGTAATGATCTATATTTTTTAAATTTTAGTGTTTCTCTTTGCGCGCTTAGTGTTTCTCTTGGGACGATAACTGTGTTCTCTTTTATGGAAAGATTACAGTGAACCGCACTCTTTCATGCAAACCGTGCATTCTAAAGATACCTAATTTCAAAATTGTTGTATAGAGGACCCCCTCAACTGGGTATAAACCCTCAAAATCCCCAAAGTATAATTTCATGATTACTTCCTCAACGGTTGACAACACACAAAAAAATCAACTCCAGTCCAAATTTACAGTTTGAAAGAAAATATTCAAGTTATCATCACCACATATGAGCCAATCCTGTGTATTACTTTATGTGTCATGGACCACCTGGCAATATTTCCTGTTTCTATTGCCACTTGTTTATTTCTCTCCTACATCTTTTTTAGACTGCTCACAATGGAGAAGTGAATGCCATCAAATTTAGCCCTGTGGACAAAGTCATCGCCACTGGTGGTGCAGATAGATTGGTGAAGCTATGGGATATCTCGAAAGGTAAATTCAGTGGCTTTACTGTAAGGATTCCTCATGAAGGATTCTAAAACCTATCTTTGTAATGAGGATTATTTAAATCGCAGTGAATTAAGGGAAAGGTTTTGACGCATTGAGTATGGAAAACTCCTCATTAGTATTATGTTGTTTGTAAATTAAAATAGTTTTATCATGTATCAGATCTCTCAAAACATACACTATTTTTCTTACACATACATATATACACTATTTTTATTTGAAAATACTTAATTTTTAAGTGATAAATCAGTTATGTCCCGATAATTATAGACCAAACAGCTCTTCTTTAACATGTTTACTTTCATATTGTCATCTTCAACCGCTTCTGGTATCTTTATGAGAGTGTGGACTGTTTTGTTCTATGAGACATATCAAATCAAAAGTTCAGCCAAAATTTATTTCTCCCAAAACTTTTATATTTTATTATCTACATGAGGCTGTGGTGGTTGTGGAATATGCCTTATCAAATAGATTGGTGCATCTGTGAGTGGAGGCAAATCGTGCAATTTATGTTGAATAATTCAGCGTTTCTGCCAAGGGAAAACCCAGGCAGCGGAATTTTGAGGGAACTCCCTGAGAATTGGACGTTGACACTGAATTGTTTGCTTTTTCAAGTTAAACATTTATCTTTTTGGGCATTACTAAGCCCAATGTTTTTTTTTTTTAGAATAGGATTGTGTGGTAGTAAAGTTAGACAAGAATTTCAAAAAGGAGAGGTAGCCTTTTAAGTCGTCATTTATCAGAACCTTGGAAGAGTGATTGTATTACACCTCTTTAACGAGTAAGGTATTTTATGCAATCAAGGAAAATACAGGGAAAGCTCAGGGAATTTATAAGTGGAAATAAAGTAGAAACTCTGAAACTGTGATCAGTAGATAACATTGTAAAATAAGGTTTCAGCAACCATGGTCTCTTGATAACAGAGTGATATAGTTTCAAAAATCAGGCAGCATGTGGTTTATGGCACAAAATCAGAATTGATAAATCTGCTCTTGCTTTGGTTATTATGACCATAGTGGCAAGGTAAGGGGCAATTCTGTTTGATCATAGCAACCGACAGAACTGTCAGCATTAAAATAATAGAAACATACTTGTGCAGAAAAGTGTTATAAGCTCTTACTCCGGAAAAGTGTAAATGGTTGTCTGAAAAATAATGTAAGCTTTTCCTTTTCCAGGTATCCAAGAGAGTAGGGGGGTTATGCAGGGTAGCAACAAAGGAGTTATGTCCGTTGAATATGATACCACTGGAGGCCTAATCTTAGGAGCATCAAATGATCATGCATCCCGTGTATGGACTACAAGCGACATGCGATTAAGGGTAAGTGACTCTTCCTAGTTTCAGCTCCTCATTAACATTCTCTGTGTTGTCTCATACAGTTTATTTATTTGAAGGTACTGATTGTTACATCTGCTTTGTTAACTTTATCATTGTGCTTGAATGGACTCTGATTAATTAAAAACCTGAATGATCTCATCATGATGGGTTCTTTTTTTCTATTTATTAAAATGATGTTTTCATCAAATGTCAAATTCCTCTCAATTTTCGTCAAAGTTTGGCTTGTAGTCCCTGTTAATTTACCCAAATAATAAATTTTTTGTCAATTTTTTCTCAAAATACAGTTAGCAGAGTTGAGTTACTCCTAAATTTGTAATTCTTCAATAGAAAAGAAACGGGAATTAGTAACAATGATAGTGACAGTGGGCAAATTTCAGGGGCAAAAAGAGGAAGGTACAATATTTATGATTTTGAGATTTTTATGAAAATGAATTCTATCATAAAAACACTTAAACTCACTTGCGCATAAAATTTGATAGCTAGTGGACGCGTTTCGCGGCTCTGCCTCTAGCATCTTCACCGCGACTCTGTATCACACAGTTCAGAGACAAAATGTTCTAAATTTTTTATAAAGTGAGGTAATTTTTGTTAAAAAGCCTCGCAAAAAAAATCTTCGGTAACATTTTGAAGATGTATCAATTTTTTCAACTAAAGCTTAGTGCAAACACATCCCAAATCAAGTGAGATGTAAGGAAGTATACCCTTCAATTGTGTAAAATGAGAAAAAAAAATTTCAAAGTGGGAAAAAGATAAAAGGAGAGAAAGGTCATCACTTCGATGAATAAGGGAAAGTTAATGCATTTTCTCAAGAAGTGAGCAGGGAAAAAAATCCTGGCTGCTCTTTGAATCAAACCTTTCAAAGGTTGCAGTATGCACTTGCAATTTTCAATATCAGCCATCAATATTTTAGTTAAATCAACTTCTACTGAAAAAAGTATTTTTCCAAGAAGTGAGCCGAATCTTTGAGAATTTTACCATTAGAAGAAATTCCAAAATTTCATACCAATAATGATAGGAAAGGAAATTGGTAAAACAAAAAACAAAAAAACAAGTAAAATGTTGTTTCTTTTTATCGAGAACAATTTTATTGCAATTTCCAACACATTACATTCACAAGTTGCTTGTCACTAAAATAAATACACTCAGTTTTCATGCATTCCCACATTCATTCACGCCAACAAGTACAATTCTGTTATAGTATTTGAATTTGAATTACATTTAAGCTAACTGCTACTTTAGTATTAAAAAAATAAGTTAAATTTCTTCCTAAATAAATTAAAAAAAAATATAATTAATTTACCTACTTAATTATATCCTAATTTTTACCAAAATTTAACATCGTGCGTCTAGTTGACGCTATTTGATTAAAAATGATCAGAACTTTGCTAAGCACAGAGTCTGACCATCAGCCAAGCAAAATTTTCTCACCAATTTCAATCAGCAGTAGTTGTTTCAAATTAAGGCAGATGATGATTCTCTCACTGATGGTGATATCATTCAGTTTGTTGTCTCGCCCTATTGAAATCTACTCGGTTCTGTTTCTCACAATGTTATTTTTCAATCACCTTGAAAATGATGAGAAAATAGCTCGGTTAGATTCAAAGTGATCTTTTCCCCAATTTCTGTTCATAAAAGTGCTTTTTAGAGCCCAGTCATCAGCATCACACTCTTTAACTAGGTTGTCCTAATCTGACCGTTACTGCTAAAGCATAGGAACTCTGATTATTGCACTGAATTTTCATGCGGAAGGGCATTTATTATGCAGATCAGTGGTAGGCTAGATTTTTTTATCAAGAATTAAGAAAAAGACCACTAGGAGACTTTACATCAATGGGGTGAGGACAAGAATCGAAAAAAATTCCTTAAATTTATCCTATAGGAAGGTAGTTCAAATTTAAACATCGATGTTGATCATCTTCGAATAAGGTTAAGTTGTAAGCAAAAAAAGCAAATTATTTTGTTGCAAAAATACTCTTCTTCTTTTTAATCTCTGTAATAAAACAGTCAGCAAGATAATCGGTCCTTGAAGGGTGATGAAAATACCTTCTTCTTGTCTTCTTACCGGAGAAACATTTGATTTTGCATTTTTTCCAAAATCCCTAACTTACTTGAACTGATTCGATTGTTGTCCTAACCTCAAAAATCATGAAAATGCACAATTACACAACAATTAAAATGCCAAAATAAAAAAAAAATTAACCTAATCGTAAAAGGACACCCTAAAGTAAATGGCCTTTTAAAAACTTTACCTATATATAATAAATTACACTATTTAAGTAGGACTTGAGTGTTTCAATATTTTAAAGTTGGCAAGGGTTTCTTACAATTCTCAATTTTCTTCCATTTGATTCACTCTGAGTGTGAACACATAAGTGTGTTTTTAAAACACTCCGAGTCCAAGCTGAGAGCAAAAATATTTATTTATTCATATTATTTATTTTTATTTATTCATGAAATCATGAAATGGCTTTACATTCCAGTTTTACAATTCTATCAACAAGGATACAAGTTAGGAGAGTGTCAAAAATTTCAAAATCCCTGTGAAATATTGAGTTTTGAGTCAAGCACTTATATTTTTTACTCATCTTTAATCAGAGGTCTGAACCTTAGTAATTAGGCTTCTTTGATGAGTGTGCTCCTCACTAAAAGCAAATATTTATAGGCAAAAATACTGGTTTCTCAGTTTTTATTTGAAACATAGTTTTTTTTCTTTCTTTTTTTCATTTCTTTTTTAATATTTCTTTTTTTTTATATTCGTGTCGTCTCAAAACACTGATATTAACAAAATTTCAGGGAGTTATAATTTTCTCTATTCTTTTTTTTCTTCTTTCTCTTTTTTTGGTTGAATTCCTCACTTGGGCTCCAATTTAACCCCTTTAAAATGTTAAATTAGATTAGATGCTTCCCTTTTCTATCTGGAATTAAGTTTCGATTGTTTTCAATAAATATTCCTAGCACTAATTTTCATAACAAGGGAAGAACGGTTGAAATCTACTTAGAATTCAAAATGGAAGAAAGACGAGCAATAGGCAATGTGATTCCTTCTACAAACTTTTCATAAGAAGGAAGCAACTCTTTTAATTAAAGCCAAAACAAAGAAGAATTAATTTTTGCTTCTTTTTCGCAGTGTTTTTTGACTCTGATAAAGTATTGTAATAGAAAAATTTAAAAATGAGCAAGCACCATCTATTAAAAACTTTCAGTGGCTGAAAACAGAGGCATTTTACTCGCATACTCGATGAGAGGAGCGGCTGTAGTAGGAAAAACATTGCCATTATTTGCAAGAAGCATCTCACCAGAAACTGAGCTAACTAATCCAGAATATAAATCTCTTTACATATTTACACAATTTCTAATGAATGAAAGTAGGGAAGCTTGTTTTCAGCTTATCATTGTGGTTGCAGAAGATTTCGTCCAATTCAGACCAGTTACCTTTTTTAGGGAGAAAAATTCATATCATCATTAAAATATATACTTACAAAGAATCATTCATTAAACCTTGTTGTTTTTGACTATTTTTCAGACAATTTCAATGAAATATGAACTGTTCTTAAAGTTTAATACCTGCAAACTTGGCAGCAATTTATATTAAGAAGTTAAAAATCCTCGGGAGAATATTTGGATGGGAAGTTAGTGTAATAAATAATAAATTAGGAATCATAAACACGGTGGGAAATTTCCATCCAGCCCGATTTTCACCTCAATTTTTAGTTCATTGACTTGATCAGAACGAAATCTCCATTGCTACCTTGAATCAGTCATGCTGATTTGTACCTAGAGCACCGGTTTTAGGGCAGGGTTCTCCTGTTCACGGGAAAATTTGTCTTCACTCGCATTTTTGTCACTTTGTCGGAAAATATTACTGAAATTTTCATTGAAATGTTTCGTAAACTTTAGATTTTAAGCCATCATTTACCGTCTGTTTAATGCAGCAACGTCGGGTTTCCTCTTAGGTTTTTTTCATAGGTGGAGAGATGGTGACTACCTAATGAAATAGCAGATCAATTTTGTAACAGGGCTGTATGTCTGCTCTGTAGCAATACAGAAATCCCTCAAAAATACCCTAGCAATCCTTATCAATGAATTTTTTTGGAATCTTAGGTGCAGCAAGCTGAATTACGTGAATTTTGGTTTTTTTTTGGTAATCACATTTTAGGTCCTGGATATTTCTCTGGTTCTCTCAGATAGCATTTTACCGCTTCATTTTACTACCACACCCCCTAATTGTAAAATTTTTCAAAGGATTAGTTAATTTTCCAGTTTAGGTATAACCATACTTTATACTGCGAGGCTAAAATTTGAATGGCATCAAGAAATACGAGTGTCTAGCCCAAAACTTAAAATTTGTGTCAAATTTCTTGCTCAACGAATGCGGGGAAATTTCTAGAAACATTTCAATGTTAAATCTGAAAATTGTATGACTTGGCCGAAAGTCGGCAAACTTTCTCGGTGACATGACGAATGGCTCCCAGCCACTCTTCACTCTGCGAGAGAAACGGAGGTTTCCCATAACTATCACAGTCGGCGTGCCCGGCAACCGGCTCGGCGGGAGGGCGCAGGGGGAGGGGGAGGGAGCTAAAATTCACGTGGGAGGGGAGACAAGGGGAAGGGGCAATGGCATTTCTAGTGATGGCAACGCATGGGCTCAGTACCTCCGCCCGTGGCCGTAGCTGACGTCGTAGAGCTTGCAGAGGCTGTCGGTCCGGGCCACGTGGTTGAAGCCGAGGCCGAGGCCCAGGTTGATGGAGGGCCCGGGGTTGGTTTTCCGGCGTTGCCAGACGTAGGACCACGCCAGGAGGACGACGACCTGGACGGCGACGAGGACAGCCCCCGAGACGAGGACGCCGGCCAGGTTGACGCAGAGACCCTCCGGACTGCTCGGGTCTTCGCTGAAGAAGGCCGAGGTGGCGTTGTAGTTGCGCTTCTCCCGGTTGAACCCGAACTTGTCCGTGATCTGGATCGTCTCGACGAGGAGGAGGTCGTCGCGGGAGGTCGTCGTCGTCGTGTCGCGTCTTCGGCGGCGTCGCCGACCGAAGGAGTTGACCGAGCGGAGTTCGCCCGACGCGTCCTCTTGGTCGCACTGCACCGGCTCGCAGGTCGGCATGCACGGCGTCACCAGCGCCCGGAACTGCACCACTTCCGATGACGGGAACTTGAAGGCGTCGAAGTACGAGAGCAGGATCTGTGGACAAATCAAATATTCACAGTTAGTCGCTCACCTCCAAATAATTGAAGAAAATGCAATCAACTAGGCGTAGATTCAGGAAACTACCGCGCAGGGAAGAGCACGATCTGAGTTGAAGAGGAAATAGGGGGATGGGAGGACCTTGCCAGTGGGATGGAGGCCCTGTCCTATCTATAAGTTTTTCAAAAATGGTGTTCAAACTTGCTATCCGGTATGTTGAGGTCTCATCAGAGCCAGGTAGCCAGGTGTCGTTATTCTTTCGACGAAGCTACCCCAGGGCACTTCCTTCGGGGCCAGTAGAATACTTTTATTGAGAGAGTCCCATGGAGGGTCCACACTAGGTCCTATGGAGGCCCTTAGCATAAAAGAAAATGGTGGGACGGGGGGGGGGGCTCCTGGTGGGAGGGGGTCGTCTGCAACTTTTGGCGGTTATCACCTCTCGTACCTTTACCGATCTTGCTATAGGAGAGGTCTTGGTTGAACCAGTTGGTTGAGAAGATTATTCGAATGTAACGCACAACTGACAGAATAAGTTTAACTATGTAATATGACGCTGCTAATAGTGAACGAAACGTAGTTTTCTGTCATTTTGCAATATGTGCATGCAGCGCCCGCCATTTTTTATGGCTCATTCAATCAGAAACGGATCCTCTGGTGGTCATACTCTCTTCAGAAAAGTACTCTAGCTGCAGACAGTTCCTCAGAGTTGGATTTTTTTAAACCGTCTGTCCGTGCGACGCGACGGCGGTGAGGCGGTTCCTGATGTTGACTTATCCATAAATGTTTGGTAAGCACATTTTTCGACGGTGTTTGTCCAGCTCATGAGTGTTGTTCCAGCGCAAACATATTATCATTCCTACTATTCATGAATGCGAGCTGTGACTGCGCGCGCATGCGTGAGAAACCCAGGACGGGTGCTGGAAACTGACCCGTAGCCAACATCTTCATCTCGAGTGGCTACTGATCATTCGGCATGCTCCTCGCTCCTCCACGACGAGGCTCGAGCGCACATTCTTCACCCTATTAGCTCATGCATTCGGAGCCTCGTATGCAATAACAGCGAATGTGACATTTATTTTAAAATCGCGTCTCGTGTGAATACACTTTAGCAAGGGCCATCCGCAAGCATACCTGTCACTTCAGTCAAAAAATACCTATCTGTATCAGAGCACAGCAACATTTTTGCCGGAAATTGGTGTCTTTTTGGCAGAATTAACTGCTATTGCATTTACAGTATCTTTCATTTTATGATGTAAATTTATTTCTTTTTTCGCGATAATTTTCTATTAGAGGCCTGATTTTTTCCTCTCTATTCAAAAAATGGAGATCGATTGAAAGCACTGAGGTAGAGTCGACGCCAAATTAATTAATGCACTTCTGACAGTGACAGAAGATCGTCTGACGTCTTTTTTACATGTTTTAATGCAAGAAGCAATACTGCGGATCTTCTGTCGCAGTCCATGAACGCGTAAACTTATTTGGCATGAACTCTTCCCCGCATGTTTTACCTACTGTATTTAGCTTATTATCATGGTGATCCCCCTCCACCCTATTTTTGCCCCTATTTTTCCTCCCCGATGTTTTTCCATCCGTGTCAACCTGAACATCCAAATAAAAGGAAGTCTAAAGTTGTACTTTGTACTTTATCTCTCGGTTTTAAAATCTCCATAATGTACAAATTTTCATCATTAGCGCCTAAGATCCCGACAGGCTTTCACTCTGTGTTTGTATCGTGTGACCCAAGTGAGTAACCTGTCAAAGTTTCTAACATCCCCAAACAAGGATCTGACTTAAAGCCGTCTCCGAAACTCACAATACAAGAATATTTGAGGAAGCAATACGAGTATCATAAAAGAGGATCTAACGTTTAATTAACGTGCATGTCGCACACAGTGTCGATTCTTAGAATTGGCAACAGTTTTTCCTCCATTTAAATGAATGAAAAACAATCGATTCTCGGTGAGGCAGCTTGCCTTACCTAAAATCGATTGTTTTCCTAGGTTTGATTGAAGGACAGTTTTGCCAACTTTCAGGAATCGACTCTGTGTGCGTCGTACACGTTATTTAAACATTAGATCCTCTTTTATGATACTCTTATTGCTTTCTCAAATATTCTTGTATTGAGAGTTTCGGAGACGGCTTTCGTGACTTAGAAGGACAGATCTTACCTTTCCTGAGTCGGAGGATTTGTAGAGGGGTCCCATGATGAAGTGGTCGGTGGGACAGCCGTCGGCGTCGATGAGAACGATCTCGCTGGAGTCGACTCCGTCCATGGCAACGAGCTCCCGAACGAAGATTTCGTACGGGCTGTTCCTGTCGAGGATCTCGAACCTGAGCGCCAGCGGGTCGCCCACCTCCGCGGAGGCCTTGATGTCCTCGCCGGCTCGGTCCGTGATCTTCATCGCCACGTTCGGCGAGTCCACGATCACCTGCAAGTGTCAATTCAAGAATCATTAGGAGTCGGAATTTTTTCACTTAGAAGCAAGGCCGTCGCCAGGATGAATTGTCAACCGCGCAAACAGCTTTGGCGCTCGTTCCCTCCCCAGATTATTGAATGGAAAGAAGGAGGAGAAGGAGAAGAAGGTAGAGAGAAGGAGGAAGAAGGAGAAGAAGATAGAGAGAAGGAAGAAGAAGGAGAAGAAGGTAGAGAGAAGGGAGAAGAAGGGAGAAGAAGGTAGAGAGAAGGAAGAAGAAGGAGAAGATGGTAGAGAGAAGGAAGAAGAAGGTAGAGAGAAAGAAAAAGGAGAAGGAGAAGAAGGTAGAGAGGAAGAGGAAGAAATTAAATTAAGAAAAATCGGAAGGAGAAGATGGAAATAAGAAGAAGCGTGAGTAGAACAAGGAGAGAAAAAGAAGATTAAGCAGAATTGGAATCTCCGGGAAACGAAATAAATAAAAGAAATGCAAGAAATTTTGGCGCCTCGCAAGTAGCACCCTGCACAAATGCACACTTTTTGTGCCTTGCGTGACTAGCTGGTTCTAAAGTAACTCTGAATTTCCAAAAATACGCGCGATTTTTTTGATTTCTAACAAGACATAGTCGGTGGATAACTGTGCATTCAGATTGGATTTGTCAACAGAAAGTACCCAAAAAGTATCTGGAAAGTATGTTGTTCCCAACCCCCCCCCCCCCNCCCTAGCTTCCCATTTTTGGGATAATTTGATGGAACAGCAGCGTTTTTCGACTGCAGAAAAATTAGACACGGAGAGACTAAGGAGATCCGCAATTTTTGCTGTTTTGCCTTCAACTCTCGAGGTTGACAAGAAAAATTACCCAATGCAACAAGAGTTGCCTGTTCAAGATTTTTGTGTACTGAGTTGTACATGAATCTTGCCTCGCAGTAAATTACTTCATCCTGACGACTCTGGTGTTAGCGCTGTTTTGCTATTCAAGCCTCTTCAGTGGATAATAAATAATATTGAGTTAACAATTTACTCCTGCATTTTATTGGGAAGGAGTTCTCCCTCGAGCGTAAATGCAGAAAGCTCGGTTGGGCTAGACTAAAATGGACTGCATTTTTCGAATTGGAACTATAAATTCTGGCTCATCCGAAAAACCTTTTATGTGCATTGGGGAACTAATGGCACATACGTTGTTTTTAAACCGGGCCGGAATTTATAGTTCCTAATTGCAAAATGCAGCCCAAATGTGGTAGTGATGATTTGCGGAAGCGTACCTCCTCGGTCATGGCAGCCTTGACATCGCCCTGGACGCCGAGGTCGACCTCATTGGAGACGGTCTTGTTGGTGAGGTCATACTGGCAGGTAACGGCGAGCCCCAGATCAGAGCTGGTGACGATGGTGTCGTGGTGTTGGATGACGACATCGTTGAGGTACCGCCCGAGCCCTTGGTGTTTCACATTGCACTCCACGTCGTCGTAGGCCATCTCCAGCTCGAAGTCGAGGCTCTCCCGCACGTCCTTGACGCAGGAGTTGGGGCTGCCCTTGGCGTAGATCTTCCCGTTGAAGAGCTTCGAGGTCTTGATCCGCGCCACCATGTCGCCCGCTCGGCAGTCGATCGTCACGTTGTAGCACGCGCTCAGCTCGTACGTCGAGGCCTCCGCCACGTTCAAATACGGGTCCTGAAACAAACATCACCAGCTCAGTCAGCCAAAGGCACAGCTTATAGTTTTAAGTGTCGGCGGCGGATCCAGCAATTTGGCAACACAGGATTTCCTCTATTTAAACCTATGTTAAATAATCGATTCTTGTCAAAGCACCTAGCCCCTTCAAGAATCGATATATTTCCGTAGGTTTAAATGGAGAAAAAACAATGTTGCCAGTTTGCTGGATCCGCCACTTTGAAGTGTCGGGGAAATCAGGAAAACAACGGTAAAAGTTAGGGTATGGACTACTAGACTCCGTACCGCAAGGGATGAATCAGTTAATGGTAAAGAACCTGTAATTTCCATTAAGTCAAATGGGTCATTTGCACACAAAATATGTAGCCCGCTGAGTACACCTGCGCTGAGTTAAAGCGCAAATTAAAGCCACCAGGAAACATCGAGCTCGCAGAAATAATGCTTACATTGTTAAATACATTGACACTAGTTTAGTATCCGATTTGTCGTGGGTAAAGTTTGGTTTTTTTGGCCAGCGAGAAGTTTCCATTGACCAGTTCATGTAAAATGTGGGTTTCACTTAAAATATTGTCATAATCACCTCGTATTTTACGCAAAATTTTGACTGGGAACCAAGAAAATTACTGTAGTACTCAATTCCTCACCCTGACCAATAGTCCATCAAAAAAATCTGCTTTTCGACATTCTTGTATAATGCCGGGATTTTCAGAGAATTGCCATGATGTTTGGGAATATTTAGCTAGAGACCATTGCCGTATTCAATTTTTTTTTTTTTTTTTTTTTTTTTTTTTTGGAAGGAGAAGAAATTCAGGTCAAAGAAGCTTTGAAAAGTGCAAGCTCCTCAAAGAGACTGATCTGATGAAACAACGACACCAAATCTGAGTCCGGTACGACCTTTTTTTTTTGTAAAAAGCCAAGAGATACACCGATCGCAATCTCACCACGCCCCGGTTACTTTGTCTGTAACTGTTCGACGAGAGGCGGGGAGGATGCGGCGGCTCGAGTAAAGGGGAAAAATTCCCAAAAATTTGCATATTTTAACACTTGGCGTTTACACCGTTCGCAAGCACCGAGTAACGGTCTTAATAAAGACAGCGTCGTCGCGGAATTGTCACCCGTACATTTTACGAGGTAGTTTCCCATTGTGCGGAAATGGTGTTTATACACGCGTTAAAGGAGGAGATGCTCGGACGAGGAAATCACGGCTTTAATCCCAAAAAACGGGCTGGTCAACGTCATTAGGTGCATCGGCTCTTTTCGAAATGGGTCACGGGGGTTCCGAGTTGGAGCGGAGTGCTTTCTGGTTTATCGCTTTTTCCCTCGTCGAGCGGGGCACGCGGGGCTGTGAATGTGGGGCGTAGTGCATTACGTTTGAACGTAATTATGCTAAAAGGAACTATGTGCATTGGGATTGCGTGGGACATAGTTCCTTTTGGCGTAAACTCGTTCGTTTAATCCCTTGAAGAATGTGGATAATGCATCCAGTCGGCCACCAATGCGAGGCGCATTCAAAGGAGCAAATAAAAATGTAGAGCCAGGCCTCGTTTCACGTTCCTCTTTCCGCATAAAATCGTCGTCCGCCTCACCGAAGGGCGTAAGTACACTTTGAGATGAGCCCGGGAACGGATTGGGACATACGGAGAACAGGGTTCATCGCGAAATGTAGGTACGATCTAATGTCGGGAGGGCGAGGAAATGTGACCGTTGCTTTTTCCGTTTCCGCGGCCTGTGAATCTCCTGCACATTCTTCGGCAATACGCGCTTTTACGCACCGGTTTTTTAGGTGTAAACTTTTTAGGATCCGCTATTCTTCCGACGCTGCCGCAATAGGTATACCCTCTTAAAAATCAGTTGTCCTCCGAGGACAAAAATTGAATGGACGCTTTTTTCCTTGGAGGTTTTATTTTTACTAGAGCCATGATTGCTCCCGCCGGCTGATTATTCAAATTGATTGACAAATTGATAGGCAAAGAAGACAAATGAAACAATAAAGCGAGTCTATTGGTTGAAGCGGGTGGATGGTGTAGACTATGGGGGAAAATGATGGACTAACTACAGGGTCCATCGTCGGTTGCCGTTAGTCAGTCTATTACTTACCTTCTTTGTCCCTTGCAACCACTCGCTTCCACCAATAGGATCGGGCCATTTTCCCCTCGACTTCTTTATCCATCGGTTTGTCTATCAATTTCAATAATCAGCCAGCTGTATTGTAGAAATGGCCATGATCGGTAACTAACATTGACCACAGAGAGGGATTCGTCCCTCAAGGTATTTTGATAACGGTTTTACAATCGACCCGCAGGTTACTGGGGCTGAGTGCAACAGAAAGCCTTATTTTGGAAAGAAATGAGTATAGAGGTAGTTTTCAATAGAATCTTCTAAAAAATATAACAATCTAATTATGCAGCACTATCATACAGCGTGGTCGGAGTAGTTTTAGCAGAAATATTTCCGTGGTAAAGGTAATTTTGACTAAAACATAGCCCGGCGGAAGTAACTAAAGCAATAAAATAAATTTAGTTTCGATATCAATATAAGTCTTGCGTAGGCTACAGTTATGTTTATGTATACACAAAAATTAGGTACGCGCGAGCAGTTTATTTATACATTTTGATCAAAATCAAAGTCTTGTTGAGTTTTCAGCAAGAAAGATGCGTCCTATAATTTTAATTCGCTGACGCCGCAAATTCGACCTACAGCGGTTAATAAGAGGCAAAAGGCACGGGCACGGCCGCGTGTATCACATACAGCGCCTTCAACATCGTAGAAATACTTCGAACGCTACACCTTCATGCACTCATTGACATTCTGATGCACAAATTGCCTACACTGCGCCTGCCGGAGTGTATACAGTCCACGTGCGATCCACGGATCGCGCGATGCGCGGCCGACGTCTGCGGTTTGGTAAACCTTAAAGACTCTGAATCGGGCTAAAGAAAGGGATGGAACCAAACTATTGGCTCAGACTCAGACGATTTGATCTAATTTGTATGAGAAACCTCGCTTTAAGTACTAAGAAAATGAAATTACGTTATTAAATAGTGTAAATTTAAATTGACTCATCTAATCAAAGATACGGCACTGCTCTTAATTTAATCCGAATGAAACTAGTATTTTGTCCACCTAATAAAACTCGTGCGTAATCTTACGGAATTTATTTTTAGTTCGAACCAGTCGTCATATTGCTCGAAAAGATTGTATAATGCGATACTTCTCAAACTGGTTCTTCCGACAGACCACAAAGCTTTTATGTTTTAAGCCCAAACGTAAGAGAGCGGTATGGTAAGTCCTGCGCTAAATCAATTCTGTTGAGCCTGAGCCTGGGCCGTTCAGCCCACTCCGTGGGTTATATTTAGTCTGGCCGGCCGGCCAATCCGGAATGAGCTTCTCAAGAGGTCGAAAGTTTTTAGCCGTCAAAACTGAATCGCTACAGCTCAATATTTTATGACGTTGTGCACATGTATACTAACTTCTCAACGTTCCCTTTATCCCTCCTCCTGTCGTTTATTATAAGGTTTTAATGCGCTAACGATGGCACCCTGTCCGCGGACGTCGTAATCTGTGAGATACTTTTTATCTTCCCTTTATTATCTCAAGCTTTGGAAGTAATATCTCAAGCTGTCCGGAAAATATTCACCGTGTTTCGTGGACTGTCCGCTCATTGTTTTTACGACCGGCTAGTTCTCCTAAACCTGTTGTCTTCTGAGCTTTTGCAGGCGATGAGCTGACCTCTCGCCGAAGCATGTAGGAAACTTACTCATCTAGTAATTCTCGTAAACTGGGGGCTCAGCCGCCGCAACTGACAATCGTGGAACTGGTTTTATGACCTCTTGAGTACATTTTTGGAACAACAGGTTGAACGGATGAAGTGAAATATTTTTAAAGGCATTGAAATAGTCACCGGAGGTTGAAAAATGCAAGCCATCAAAAATTGTGTTGAAAAGTTATTGTTGAAGAATTATGACACGGGCCTCCTCCTGAGTTGAGTGGCAGTATTTTTTAAAAAAAAAAACAGTTATTGTAGCACTCAACATCGAAAACGATCCTAAAAGAAGGCTTATGTCAGCCCTAAGCTGTGATGCTTTTGTGGGTGCATTATTTGCTAAACGATCATTAATATATTGTCTACTAGACTGTTGGGGTTTTTTTTTTTTACATCAGAGTCATAAACCGCCGTACATTTCGACGACTATTTACGCGGTTGGAGTCATCGTGATAAGTCACCAACAAGAGAGAATGAATCTTTGGACTACTTCTTTTCAAAAATTATAGCCTGCTGGCTCTATAAATAGGTCCCAAACTGGATGCCTGTATTTTATGAATCCAATATTTTTTCCTAGTTAGTGCAATGCAGTTTTTCATCTTTCACCTGGCTATGTTGAGGCACGTGATCCGCTTACAGGAGATTAATGTGAACATTTGTATTTGTTGAATAGCGTTCAACGGTGAAAGTTTAAAATTGTACATTATTCAAGATAAATTTGTTGAAATGGGGTTAAAAAAAATTGCCCACAGCTTGAAAAAAAATTAAAAAAGTTATTTTCCTTCCAGTGCTCATAAACTTTTTTTGCCCCAAAATTCAGAGGCATTCATTACTTGCATAAGAAAGTTACAGTGAGTCCGAAATTTTTTGAAAATATTATTCGTCTTAGGTGTTGTTGGTGTAAAAGTAGTCCTAAATTGCCTTATTTTTTAAAACATTCTCTTTTGCACGTGTATAAACGAGATAAATGTATCATTAAAGCTTGTTTGCGTGTTCAAAGGATGAGCCTCTCTCTGTATAGCACTTGCATCACAGCCAATATGTAGTTATACACAAGGTCCTCTGTCTACGCAATTTTTAGAAGTCTCCTTTAAAGCACTTGGAGTCGTCAACTCGCACTGACTTAAAAATTGCACTTGTCTCATCGGTGCCAAACTTAATTTATCTGCGTTCTTTTTTACGACTTTTAGTACGCTGAACGAACCACGAAAGTGGCTTGATATTTGTATATGCCATAAGTTAACTTCTTTACCTGCTCTACTTTATGAGTCGTTTTATTGAAGTACTATAGACGATGATGAAGAGGACTCTGAATTTGTCTTTTGCACGGTGTCGTGTCAGAAAACGTCCATCCGAAGGTTTTACTCTCAGAAACGAGCATATGACTCTCAGATCCAACACGGAGCTGAGTATTTAACTCATGCGGGCTCCATTACGTTAAATTTTTACGACCACTATCGGGCTCACAATAAGTCGTAAAAAAATTGCCCCACTTTGTAGAAAACAGTGTTTCAAAGCCATGGTACATACTATCGAGTATTATCACCGGAGTACCGTGGCGCGCGCTGTGCGCCGGACATCACGACCTCATAATTGACGACTTGACGTAGCCCATTATTCCGTCTTCTTATTGCAGATGCTGATATTTGCAGGCGTTTTATTCGCTCTATCTTTTCCGATCGAATGGTGGACTCGAATTAAGATGAATTCTCTTCATGAAATAGTAGAGTATCCCAGCATTGAATACCTCCTGCAATGACGCCTTAGTTTTTTTCTCGTTTTGATATTTGACGAGCTAACTTTGATTAATATTTTGCCTCTATCAAGGGATAAAACGATAAACCCATGACTTTCTTTAAAATTGTATCCATTCGTTTTGCACCTGAGCGAGAGAATCTGCCTTATTTTTACCGCTTAATCCGAAAACTACCTTGATTTTTTCCATTATCGATCAATTTTTCGTAAAATTTAATTTTAACTTAAGGTGTAAAAGACGGAGCGAAATTGTTTAATTTTAGCAATGGAAAATGAATGGTTCGGCACATGTCATGTATGTTTAAGACTCATGTCTCGCCCAATTTTCATATTTTGTCGTAGCTCACTTTAAGGATCAACTGATCCGATTTCCACAATTTTCAACTACTTAATATTGGCAGGTCTACAAAATCGGCATTCTTCATTGAGTCATCTTCCTTGAAATTTTTGAAATATGAGCCAAGATCCAGGAAGCTCTTAGAGTAGGAGGAGATACACCCCAATTTTTGAATTAGCTTTAATGATGTGACAGATGGCGACAATGCATGTGCATAAATAAGCGTGCATGCATACATGTGCATCACAGCGCTCTGCGACGCGTAACCGCCACAGTATCCTATCCCCCCGCAATCTTTGAGGGAGTTGGCACTTGCTCATTACATTTAAGATCCCCTGTCTTACACCCCCCGCTCCATTTCACAGGGTTCCTCCTCCCAGGAGGAACTCAATCAAGCATATGCTTTGGCAGCCCTTTCCCCGGTCAACATGGCCGTACAAGATAAACTGTTGGGTCATGCTGGTGCATGTACTGACCTGAATGTCGGATAGGGTGGCTCTGGAGTGGTGGCTGAGCCTGCAGACGAGGTCGCCGGTGTCGCCGTAGTCGTAGGAGTGGCACCTGTACGGGGAGTTGAGGCAGAGTTCGCGGCACTCGTCGACGGAGCCGACCTCCTGGTAGACCGAGTCCACCGTCTTGAGGATCCGTCCGGTGAGCTTCTTGAACTCGCAGAGCTTCACTGGGACCTCGACGCAGTTGTTCTCCAGGTACTCGCTGTCCGTCGCAGCCTCGAAGGCGCTGTGCCCGGCCACCGTCAGCCGGTCCATGTCCGACAGCTCGCACACTCCCGTCACGTTGTTGAAATTCGCCGACCTGAAACAGTCACACGTCACGTTAAATATCACGCTAGTCAATTCACACCCGGAGACGGTATATCTTACAATGGACCACTAGACAAGGTACGAATTTAAGCGATCTGATACATGTTTCTCAACCAGAATTTCACGTAAAAAACGATACGCACAACGAAAATTACCGAAATCAACTCCTGACGAAGATATTTAATGATTCTTGATGCGTGAATTCAAACCACCCGCTCATGAAAACTCAATGCTCTACGTGATTCACATCGCGCGCTAAATGTTTATCATGTATGACAGTCTCTGCGATGTAAAAATCTTCAACTTCAATCTTGACACTTTGGCTCAGCTATAGCAAATTATCAATAGTTTGAACAACACATGGTGGAAAATGAACATTGCTCGATTGAGAAGCTTGCTGAAACCGTTGTAGTGCGCGATTTGACTCACGTAGAGCTTTGAGTTACTTGTGAGCGGGCAGTTCAAATCCCTCGTAATCAGTGCGAAATAAAAACGTTAATATCTTCGTTAGAAGTTGATTTCGGTAATTTTCGTAGTGTGAATCGTGTTCTACGTGAAATTCTGGTTAGGAAACATGTATCAGATTGCTTAAATTCGTACCTTGTCTAGTGGTCCATTAGGGATGGATTCCCCGAAAAAAAAACAGATGAGCACAAGTGTATACTCTGCTCATCTTGAGCACAAATTCCACCAGTGATGCAGTACTCCTTTTGAGCAAAACTACGCAATCTTGCCAAATCGTCCAAAAAAACAGTATTTCTCATTTGGAGCACAAAATCCACACTATGGACACTGGATGCGAAAAGGGCACTTCTCGGTTGCAGTGTTTCAGAGTCTCCTCTAATATTTCATTCATTGCAAGGGAAGTGAATGCATCCATTTCACTGAAAATTCTACTGAATATTCCGTATGATTCTACAATGTCCGATGGAAAGACTTCTGGCAAAATCACCCATTAAATTCTCCTCCAAGGGATTAATTAGCAACAGAGATTCTGAAACACTGCAATCAAGAAGTGCCCTTTTCGCATCTAGTGCCGCTCCACAATCCTCCTTAAACGAAGCACGGAGAAAAAGTTTCCGTTGGATCAATGAGATTTTCAATTAATAATGCCCGGATGGGAATTCTCATCGAGTCAACAGGAAATCTGCTTGATTCAAACGGTATCTCTGTTGTTTTAAAGAGACGCTCTGTCACTTTAAAGATCTTTCCGGTTGATACAAGGGGATTCTCGTTTAGGAGTCATCAACGTGAAAAATTTTGTCCATCTCTCTTCTTTCTTCATCTGTTTTCGCTGCATCAACAGGGTATAAGATCTTCGTTCAAAACGCAACATTAACTTCCTGATATCAGAACATAGATTTGTTTTTCCAGACGAAAAAGCTCAATAATGTCAAGGTGATCTTGAGTTACAGCCGTTTGAAATCGGCATTTCCAAAAACTTTGGCTCGAAAAAAAGCTATGTATAGTCCCATTCTGCTATTCTTAATAGACTTCAGTTATTGTTTGAATACCAATTCCCAAGCAGATGGTTACTAACTGTTTCATATGCGCCCTCCATCTTGCCCACTTCTCCTGCACGTGCCGTTTTCTGAAATGCATTTTAAACTGATGGCTTTGTTTTCTGTTCCCAGGTGAGTCAACTATCATTAGTGGAATGTCGTAAGCCTCGCTCAAGTCTCGTAAGTAATTTTTCTACCCACTATCAGCACTCGCACAAGTTTTTCTCATGGAGCCTTGAAATTTCTCAGTGTCACCGGAACACACCGGGATCCGAACCGCTTTCCTAGTGGAAACAAGATCACGCAGATAGAGCCGGTGCTCATAGACCGAGCGCTGCGCGCGACTCGGAAGTATTTTATTTGCGGTGCGTAGTTTGCGTAAATGTAGCGCAGTGTGTTACGACCTAATCGGGGGCTCTCATCTCCTAATTCTTGTTTCGCCGGCAAAAATTCCCGGACGGCGAGAATTAAAACCTCGTCTCCATAATTGGACTGCCTCGACGCCAAATTTCACAGAAGGTGAATTATTGCCATCTAATGAAAGGTCTGCACAGAGTATGTAAAGTTCGGAATGCGAGTCCTTTTTTCAATGAAAGAGCGCCAAGAAATCCGAAAAAATCACGCATTTTTTATGTCAGGGTCATAATATTCCGTGAATTGTCAATACTCGGGTAAAATTCTAAGATTTTTTATTTTCGCCAAGAAAAATAAGTGTTATTTGAGTTCAAGATTATCCACAGTAGATAAAAAAATCAAAACAGTGTTTCTAGTAATCAGATTTTTGCAAAATTCAAATTTTCAATTGGCTCTTGTCGTTTTGAATGAATGCCGTTGATGTGCGACATTTTATTGTGTGAATCTGGCAGCATGGTTGGCACAAGGGTTTGAAACCTCAAACGACGCTCAACGCGACTCCAACAGTATTTCCGCGGTTAATTACTTGAATGAAAAGCAACCCTAGTGTTGCCATGTGGAACTGAAATCCGTACAATTTATTCTCCACGTGAAGGACGTATTCTTCGCATAAAGTTGACGGCGTTTTGTAGTAAGGAACTGCTACTTCTGACACACCATCAAAGCGCCAATCTGCATAGGAAAACCAAAATTGCACTTACGTTGTTTCTGAAATGAGCCAGAAATAGTACTGCCTTATCGTAAAATAGAGTCCAATTGCATCATGATGTTCTCTAACATTATGTAAATCCAATTGAATGATTCCCTTTTTTCTCCTTCTCTAAACACGACTTCAGTTGAAATTCATTTTGCAACCAAAAACCGCTATTTTTGGCTCGTCCATAAAAGCACATATTTACATTGAAATAACAATGGCACAAACGTTGCTTTAACTGTAGCCGAAAATAGTGTCAACTTATTGCAAGATGCAGTCTAATCGGGACGTGAGCATTAAACCCGCTCTAAATACCCTTTTGGGGGGAGGGGGGGATAGGATGTCTCAAAAATTATCCATTTTCTTGCAGAATGTTGGGGAGATCATAGAATCTTCCTTTAAAATTCTCAAAAAGAAGTCAAAAACCCATTCAAAGAAAGAGTAAAACGAAACCGAGTAAGATACCTCACGGAAATTTCAAAATGGACCTCGAAAAATAATTTTTCCACGTGAGGTAATATCATTCACTGGAAAAAAACCACATTGGATCCAGAGTCCAGACTCTTGAAAACATCGACAAGAAAAAACACTCTCGATTCAATCGGATTTTTGCTTAAATCAAGAACCAAGCCTCTTAATTTGAGCGGATTTCCTTTTGATCTAAGCTTAAATCTGATTGAATCAAGAGTATTTTTTCTTGGCAATATTTTCAAGAGTCCGGACTCTAGATCCAATGTGTTTTTTATTTATTTTATTTTTTTTTTTCCAGTGTAGCAGCTACAGTATTACTCAGTTATCCATTTCCAACTTCTCCTACTGCTGAAATAATTTTAGAGGTAAAAGTTACCTTTCAAAAAAATGTCAAAATGAAGTGAATTGGTGCGTAGGAAAAGACACGGAGCACTCGCGCCGAAGACTGAGATCTGGCAGACGGGGGCGATACTGTAATGTTACCTCCAGTTTGTTATAATCCAATTCTATTGTTTTCAGTCTATTACCTACTACTCGCCACTAATGTCCCGCGATGGATCAGTTCTCCCTCGAATCTCGTGAGATCTTTTCCCACAATTATCGCTAACCTGCCATTGTTTCGCGGCGCTGTACTATATTGAGTTATTCATTTTGTTTCCCCGTAGTTTTTTCGTAACCCAATTCCTGTCATAAACCACGGGTTCCGCCTGGCGCCTCCTCAGACTTCCGAATCTCGTTTCCACGAGTCCCGCATCAACGACTTTTTTGACGTAATTTACGACCAACCCCCCCCCCCCCCCCNGCGGGCCTCCTTCGAACTGTTACGAGTTTGATCTATTCATTCATTTAGTCTTATTCGTTCATTTATTTATATTATTTCATTCTTTCCTCTTGTTATTATTATTTATCTAATTTTTTATCTAATTTGCTATCAAGAAGTTGAAAAAAGAGGTGCACTCTGTTTTGATCCACTTTAAGTAATATCAAAGCATTTGCTTAAGGTTCCACACAGACATTAATCAATGAGATACTTGTGTGATTTCCATAGAGACGGTTCAGTGACCTTCGTAATTTGAACAATTCTTGACGCCTCCCCTCACTTGAACGATCTCCGTTGAAGTTGCTGGTCCGTTTCCAGGCATCAACCAACTCAATTTCGTGATTCTACCATATGTCTCACAATCAGTCAAAAGCTTGACTATGCCGTACTATGGTGTAAGATTAGACATCATCTCCATTTAGACAAAATATCAATAATGATGGAATGAAAGAAATTGAAAATAATAGAAAATAAAAAAGGAATTAAACTTAAAATTTGCCTAAGAAGGTCGTAGATTGGGTTCCTCCTGGGAGAAGACGCAGAGGGCGCCCAATAAAAGGTTGGAGGGAGGGGATTGAAGCGGAAATGTTAAGGTGCTCAATGCCCCAGCCAAGATTTGTGGTTTGAAAGAGAGCAGTGGAGGTTAGGAGTCGTAGAGCGCGAGGGAGTGCTGTAAAGCGACTTATATGTATGTATTAAACTTAAAATAAAAGAATATTAAACGAACATGAAAAATAAATGAATGAAAATACAAGAAATTATGGGGAGGGGGATTTAACTAAAAAGTAAATGGAAACCCAGCGAATCTCCGAATCTCTATAAAATTAAGAAAATAAAAAAAAAAAAACACGAGTTTCTGATGCCCTTACGACTGACGCTCAAGCCATACATATGTGTACTTTTCATGTACCTCGCGACAAGTCCGATCAAATGGCATGTCCATACTCTCCCAATAAATGGACTCGAATCATCACCAGCCGAATTCAACTGTCTCCTTCAAACTGGACAGACGGATAAGTAGCGAGAGCCGGGCGATTGAAAAATCGTGCCTCCAACCAGGATTTTCCCCCACGACTCTCCCGAAGGAAAAC